CAGTATGCTTCTTATCATGCACAGTCCTAAAATATAATCTCTGGCTCTACATAATTTCAGTGGTGGAGGCACAGGTGGCCCCTGCCCTAGCCACGACTCTTGGTTATTGGATGGTAAAGCTGGGGAATGGACTAAGCTGCCTGACTGTTTGTCCCCAAAAATTTATCCCAGTCTTGCTCTTCTGCCCGATGGGAATGATGGTCAAGTGGTCATTTTGTATGGTGGAATGGAGACTACAAGTCAAATGCTTAAGGTTCATATACTGTATTCTATGAGTCATAAAAATAATAGATTCTGATATATGTGACTTAAATCTACCTGATCTAATCATCTTGCAAAAGCTTATGGAATAGTCTACTTTTGATAGACAATTATTATGTTTCATGTTTACAAGCCTTGCTGTTTTCTTTTGTTTTCTCAGACATATGTCTCTCTTGAATCAGACGTTGGAGTTCTGGAATTGGAAAGTAACATTTGGAGTACCAGGAAAGTTTTGGTAAAATTCTTTCTTAATTGATTATTGATTTTAATAGATTAGATTTGTGCTTTGCACAAATATAAAAATTTCTTCGGGTGCTGTTTTTGTTAAATATTCAGTCAGAATAGTATTGGCTGCGTTCTTCAAAAATGACCTTTAAAGGGAAACCAAAATATGAAAACATTGTGAAATAATCAATAGGTATATCATATTTTAGGGATCATCCTATCCAGTGAAACGATATAGTGCTGCACTTACCACTGCACAAGTACTTGGGGGGGTTGTGCTGTTTGGAGGAGAAACAATGACAAAGTATGTTAAAGAATTTGTACAAGCTAACAGTGTTATCAATTTTAAGTGTCTAACATACAAATTGTTCTGTTGGTTATGTAGATATATTGGGCGCACTGTGTATTTGATGGGACTTTTGCAGGTACTTAGTTTCATTTGGGTTGAGAATTGAAGCCTTTGCCCCCATAAAAATATTTTATTTTTGTTAGTCTCTTCATGAAACAAACTTTTTCTTCAAGTGGGACAGTTAATGACCTTTGGCTACTTCGTGGAAATGGTTCATCTGTCACCAGCCTGGAAGTTAGTACCAAGTGTGGAGGCCCATTTATAGTGTTCTGGAACCTGATAGTCCTCCACACAGTCTTCATGTTCGCTGGCTGGGGCATCTTACTGCAGGCTGGAGCATTTATTGCTAGGTATTTCAAATGGAAAGGTCCCAAGTGGTTTCTCATTCATAGGGTATTGCAGGTATGTTGAACAAAGGGGTCTTGGACTGGATTCAGTATGACAGCATTAAGGGTTTGATTGTCTTGTTATGTCATCTGTACTCCACCCAGTTTGGTGTTTTATAAAATGAGGAATATGGCATGGTATATTTGTGAGAATGATTTTATGCACCAGTTGTGGCAAGTGCATTTTAATAGTAAAAAAATCACTGTAAGGTTTGATATCAATGTAAGATTCGATGGTTTACTTTTGATAATAATGTTGTATTTTTATTGTCAGAAATTATGCATATGGTATGATGGGTTACCTATGATTTAATATACATGTTGTAGTGTCAGTTGTGTTTTGTTTATCAAAAGTCATGGATAAACACAGAACTGTACACTGTGTAATAATCTTTCTGGTCTTTTTTCCATTCAGTCCACAGGATTATTTTTTGCATTAGCTGGGTTTATCTGTGCCATAGTGTCTGTGAGATTTGACCACTTTTCCTTTGCCCATGGGATCATTGGGCTTATAATTATGATCCTAGGGCTGCTGCAACCACTCAATGCATTGATGTGAGTTAGTAATCTTGTATCATATATGCAAGAAGGCAAATTTTTATTAGTACCACCAGCGTGTACGCTGGCGGTACTCATGGTTTTAGTCCCGACCCGTCTCGTACAGCTCCGCCGGCTCCTGTGGCTTCGTCGGCTCCGCAGTCGGGCGCCAGAAACAAGTCGCTGTTACCGCTTCTCCTCCTAGACCGCAAGGACCTGTGTCCCCATCTCTTGGATTTAGGTCACATATAATCTCAACTTGAATCCCCTGTTTTTTTTGTCTCTGTTGGTGCATTGACCTGGGCGTGACGCTTGTTGAAATGCACCCTTGAAAATTCAATGCTAAATATCTCCCAAACCGAAGGAATTATGGGAAAAATTTCTATTGATGACTGACCGAAAATCATATGTAGCAAACATGTGCAAACATGCCCTTGGATTTGACCTTTGACCTTTATTTCAAGGGCAAATGGGCCAAAATTTTCTAAAAATGAGAAATTTTTGCAAAAAAAAAAAACAATTATTTCTGCTTTTTTCCAGCAACTGTGCAGATCTAATCTATAATATTATGGACAGGTGTTACCCTTAGGGTCATCTTTCATCTTCGTGAGTTTGGTGTCAATCGGTGCATTTTCATGGGAGTAACAGCCATTAGATGCCGAAACTGAAAACTCTCTCTAATTCTGGATCCGTTAATGCTAGAGACCTCTTGTTTTTTGCATTTTGTAGAGCTTGTCAAGCACAACGCTAATGGTGGTATCCGTTTTTTTGTTTTCGATACGGCTTAGGCATTGCACTATATCAAAAAGTTCAACATCTGATATTCAGTGATGAAAATAAAATGTGGAATACTCCAAAATTAGCAGAGATATGCCCATAGTTACTATTGAACTTGAATAGGAAGTCATATACTGGTAATCTGTGACCTTGAAATTGACCTTTGACCTACATTTCATGATTAACTGCACTTTGCAAGTTTTCTAATCTTTATATCTCCAAAACTGGCAAAGATACGCCCAAAGTTACTATTGAACTTGAATAGGAAGTCATATACTGGCAATCGAACTATGACCCTGACATTGACCTTTGACCTAATTTTCACCGTGAACTGAACTTTACAAATTTTCTAGCCCTTATATCTCCAAAACTGGCAGAGATAAGCCCATAGTTACTGTTGAACTTGAATAGGAAGTCATATACTGGCAATCTCACTGTGACCTTGAAATTGACCTTTGACCTACTTTTCACCATGAACTGAACTTTGCAAATTTTCTGTCCCTTATATCTCGAAAACTGGCAAATTTACTATTGAACTTGAATAGGAAGTCACATACTGGCAATCTTACTGTGACCTTGAAATTGACCTTTGACTTACTCTTCATGATGAACTGCACTTTGCATGTTTCCTGGCCTTCATATCTCCAAAATTGGTAAAGAAACGCCCTTAGTTACTGTTGAACTTGTATCGGAAGTCAAATACTGTGACCTTGAAATTGACCTTTGACCTACTTTTACGCCACTACTTTTTGCCCCTCATCTTCAAAACTAGCAGAGATCTGCGTAGTGTTGTCCCTAGGTTTTTTTTTTTTTTTTTTTTTGCATATTTTGAGAACTCTTGTTTATTGCATTTTATAGAGCTTGTCAAGCACAAGACTGGTGGTGATGTCCCTTTTTTTGGGGGGAGGGGGGTCCATACGAATGTGCTTACTCCAGCTGGTGGTACAATATCTGGAGGCGGTATTGCCTCTCTGATCCTCTAGTTGAGAGTGAGAAGCAATTTACAGGTGTAATTTTGGGGAATTTCTCTTGCTTTTGGAAAAGCTGATATATGTATAAAATAGTCCAATGGGGATAGTGGATTAAATTTCTGGTCCTGCAAGAGGTGACAACCTGACATTATACTTTTTTTCACTTCATCTTTTAGACGACCTCACAAGGAGCAAAATGAGGTCATATCTAGAAAGAGATGGATCTGGGAACTTATCCATTTGAATACTGGAAGGCTGGCCCTTATTTTGGCATTGATAAACATGGTTCTTGGTGAGCATTTATTTTCTGAGATACTCAGTTATCATTGTAAGTAATTTGATTAAACCAAAGATATATGCATTGATGTTAGGATTTGTTTTAATTATAACCTTTATTAAGATAAAAGATGTATTTCAGGGGTGTATTTGGAAGTATCTAGCCTGGGAACACAGATATTGACATATGTTTACATTGGCGTAATTATTGTAGCCTACATTGCCATGGAACTATGGACAAGAATCAAAGGGAAAGGAAGAAGTGAACAGATGGAGTTGAACAAAATATAATGGAATTCAAATGGTTGTTTTGATACAGTCAGCATAATGTTGTGCAATAAAAAGATTCTTCAATATAATGAGATTATTTACTATAGCACGGATCAGATGTTTAAATATTTACCCTATGAGGCCACCCTTTTTAAAAATTTTATTAAAAGATTAAGTTGCAATATTAGGGGCTGAATTAAAATGTTATTTTCAACAGTGGGATAAATATAGTTACACACTACCAAGTTATAATAAAAAAGTCTATTTATCTTTCTTTTTAAAATTATTCATTAATTTTTATGCACAGACACTGCAAATATCTGTATATTTTCTGATTGGTCTGTCTGTCCACTTTCTTGCCATCACTGTCCAACACATGATATTTGCCCCATAACTGCCAAACCATATTTTTGTTTTACTTTTGATTTACTGAGTAGTTTTGTTTGATAAAGAGACCAGTTGCTTTTAAAAATCGGCATAATTGGTTTACATTGGTTTACGGTAATTATTCTTTTTTTCCACAATTTTGGTGACGTTCGCCCCATAACTGCCAATTGAAACTGTATTTTTGTTCTACTTTAAATTTACCGAGTGGCTTTGTTTGGTAAAGAGGCAGACTGCTTTCCAAAATCAGCATGATCAGTTTACACTTACAGTAATTATTCTTTTTTTTTTTTTTCACAATTTTGGTGACATTTGCCCCATAACTGCCAAACTGTATTTTTGTTTTACTTTAAATTTACCGAGTGGCTTTGTTTGGTAAAGAGGTAGACTGCTTTCCAAAATCAGCATGATCAGTTTACATTTACAGTAATTAGGTAGGTTGCTTTCGAAAGTCAGCACAATCTGTTCACATTTATGGTAATTATTTATTTATTTATTTATTTTTTTGTGAAATTTTCATTTTTCACACAATAGCATTTTCAGTGACTTTTTTATCACATGGATTGAATCACTTGTTAGTTTTTGGTTGTTCATGTTACCTGTAGTACATAATGTAAGAGGGTAAGAGTGATTATGCTATTTTATGTAATGTTGCATCAAAATTGGTCAAAACATTATTTTGTGCAGTTTTATCTAAGTAATGTCTGAACATTTGACAGCTTTTCTTCCTTGTTTCCTGAATGGTGTCTGTATATTCAGCAGCTTTGTGGTCTAGTGTATTAATATTGTTTTATTTATTGTATTTATTGTAATTATTATTATAATTATTAAATCATTATATTTATTTTTGAAAAATATAACTTTTGAAATTTTGATAATGCAAGTAATTAAAAGGGGTTGCTTTAGTAATTTAGATTTGTAAGCATTTTTGACAAATATACATTTTTTTGCTTTTGTACGAAAAAATCTGTTAGATGCAGCTTATTGGTGTATCACAGTGTGATATTCAATTTATATTTTAAACTCAATTTTGGTGCAATTGACCTTTTAATATAGGGTGCCAAACAACATTTTTTCATGGTTTTGTAAATTCTGGTTATTAAAAAAGGTGGTATATTTTTTAACATGTTAATTAATACCAGAATGTGGATACTTACCCCGTATGCCACCCAAAATTACACACCTGATTTTCAGTGTTTTTTTTTCTTTTTAATTTGGCTATGTGGTGGCTTTTATCAAGGTCTCCTTATTCATTAAATTAGTTTGAAATTTACTGTATGATTTTTTGACATTTTTACCGGAAACTTCAAGCTCATTCAAATATAACAAGAGCGAACATCATTTCAGGGGAGAACATCAAAATATCAGTAAATAAATTCATTTGAATTGCACTGCCATTGATTAGTCACCACATAATACGTGTGTACGAGTTGGGGGCATCCTGCATAAATACCAAAATTTGCATTGTGCTAATCATTTTCATATTTTTACTGCACAATTGTATCTGCCCAAATTAAGAGCAACAGAATGCAAACAAGGCCCACACTTATATCTGCAGAAAACTCGTAAAATATTTTTGTACTTTCTTAATATTTATTCAACATTAAAATAGTTTATATTACCTTCCTTTGCATTTTTATTAATAATAAAACATTACATTTTAAGGTTGGTCATTTTTACTGTGCTAAGCACCAGTGTTTTGTATTGGACATGTGCTTTAATATGGTATTTGTAAGTTGTTGTAACTGTACATAAATATTACCTTCATTTAACAAAGAGGCATACAGGTTACAATTTTGCACATACCTAAAATGCCAGAAAAGTAGTATTTGAATCATGGAAATGAGTTTTAAAGAAAGCCAGCCCTTTAGAACTTCAAGTATTGCATGGGTTGCAAAAGCCAGCTGTAAGGAATTACACTAGTATCAAGTCTTATTATTTATTAATTAAACAGTTTTATTATGCATTGATTTAATGCCAATTTCTATTTGTTAAACTGATTCGCCTTTGGACATGGAAAATTTGTCATAGTTATATTCAAAGATAATGAAATGATAAAAAATGCAAGCACATCAAAACTGGCTTAAGACATGCATAAACAATTACTCTAAATTGTAACCAAAAATACATAATGCTGCATTATGTAAGATCATCTGCTAATGAACATACTATTTATAAAACTTACTACACACACACATTCCTTCTACTCTCACATCCAGACTTGGCTCTTCTCACCCATATGTTTATGTTTGTATGTCATAACTTGCTGAACCTATATTAATGTTGACTTTTTTATGAGCACCCTACTGCCCAATTCATAATGTCCCTTCTTGTGTGATTTGCGTTCTTTTCTTCGTCTTTCTTTGTTGTGAACTGAATGTTCATGTCTATCCCTGTTTGCATCATTGTCCAAGTGTCCATGTTTGTCCTTGTCCAAATATCCATTTCTATCCCTGCCTTTGTCCAAATGCCTGTTATTATCGTGTGTTGCTATGCTTGATCTTATCCCCTGCTGTGTGACTACGTCTGTGCCGCCATTTGTCAAATGATCCAGGTGACAGTTGGACAGCCATCGGTTGTCTGGACCCGGGCGTCATCAGTACTGTTTGCTGAAAATGACAATGAAAAAACAATTCATAAAATACACAATGTATTGGACATCTCAAACCTGTAAATGTGAACTGTTAACACTGGTTTAACAAGGAAGTAAAATAAAATTCCAAAATAAAAAAATGATAGCAATTTAGTTGGTGACCAACAATGATTCTCAGGACAGAAATTATGTGTTAGTTAATGATAACAGTACACTGAAGTATTAGAGCAAATACCAACTACTGGTGAAAGGCTTTTAATAGAATTATTAGAATATTAAAATATTCTCATTCTCTATTAAATTAAGGATTTCTGTTGATTGCAATTAAAGAACAAGTTGTTAAAATACGATAACTTTGCACATAATTTTTACAAATTCAAGCAGATAGTGATGAAAATAAACAAAGGCCCTTTAGTTATAGGCAACTATATTAGGAAAAAATGAATCAATGAACATGCTTTGCATGTATAAACTGTAAATGACATTAGATATAAATGGGAAATAAGCAGGTTAATGAGGACCCTTTTCCTATCCACATGCCCTGAAGTAAAAAGCAACAATATAATGGATAAAGTGTTATGGGCATAACAGTAAATAACAGTGCATTTAAACAGTAAAGAGTGAATTATCAGCAGGGGTACTGCCAAACTGCTACAGCTGTCACCAGCATAGTGTCATACAATGCTGGTGACAGCTGACACAGTAGGTGGCTGGGTCACAATATGCTTATGCTGTGAGCTCTTTCCAAACATGCAACTCCCCCATGCAAAGCAGCTGGAGATGAAATACCTGCCAAATTCCACTCATCAAGAAGTGGAGCACTGCTGGTCCTGCTTCGCTTACGTATTGGCTGAAAGGGTCAGAACACAAGGTTGAATTGTACAGCAGCAACATATCAAAGCGAAAAAAAAAAAAAATAGCCAGGGCTGTAGATATTCTTAAAGCATGAAAAGCAGGCTAAAACAAGAGTTCATGAGCCCATCCCTGAAGTATTTTAGTCATCTTTACCTGTGTCTGTCTGGACATCTTCTTGGAAGATCTAGTCAGGGGTGACACAAAGTGTGATAGCTGTTCTTTCTGAGGAGTACTAGGACTGTGGCGCTTTCTAGGAGGGTATTCACTGGTGCTAGGAGAGTGAAAAAGGTTCATATTTGAATGTTTAAGAAACGGGCATAATATAGCATGCATTGAACGATCAAACTTTTCTTTCCACTTGATAATAAAATATATTATTAAGACAGCAGCTAAAACAATGTACAGCATCTTACTACAACCTCCCAGTTTTTTCCCCCATTATATAACAAAGATTGTAAAGGATATGTAGGACTTTTTCTTGAAGATATTTCCTTTCACTTTCAACATCATCTCACCTGCTGCATAATCCTGCTGCCTGGTCAGATGGAGTATTGGTGATATTGGTCAGGTTGGTCTTGCTGTTTCTACGTTTTCTAGGTAAGTGTGAGCTGTCCACCTCTTCCTTCAGGTCAACCACATGTACTGCTGGACTAGATGACTGAAACCGTATAAAAACAACTTGAATGCATGTTTATTCAGTTTTCTGCCTACAGAATTGGATCTGATGCATGCAGATAGTTGAAGAACTGAAAGCTGAAAGAGAATTAAGGCAGATAAAGAGCAAATAAGCAACCAAAAGCATTTTATACCCCAAGATAAAAAGGGAGTTCAAGTCACAAGTTTCATAAATACAAAGTCAACATTCAATTTTTTATAGTAAATTTAGTGAGAAATGCTGTCATCACCAAAATAAGTTTGATTTATTTTAAAACACTTTAACCAGGTATGTAACATGCAAAAAGGAAGACGGACTGTCAAGGTGATTCATAAAGTAAAGAAGGTGATTTCATCTACTGGTAATTTGTAGTTAGTCAGAGGAATAACTCTCCAGATTAACATTTCCATGCAACTATTGTTATTGTATTTTTTAATCTAGGTCAAAAGCTACAACATTACAATAATTTCAGTAATTTGGCTTTATGAAAGGATTCAACTTGAAGACTACAGTAAAAGATTAGGGTAAGAATCAACAGAAACTAGGTACACATGAGGCTTGACATTTGTTAAGTCAGGGTAAATTAGAAACAAGACTTCAGAAATGCAGGGTTGTAAGGAATAAGTAGATTTGAGCATAGTGCCCTAATAGTAGTTGTTGTGCAACTTGGGTGAAACTAGGGTCAAAATCTACATCTTCATTGTTTACACTTACTCCTTTAGCATGCTGCTTTACAGCAAGTGTTAGCTCCTCATTGAACAGCTTCATCACCGGTGTGTTTGGTGAATTAATTGGAGTGACACTAACTCTGGGCACTATTGTTCTAGGTGGAGTCTGGTTCAGATAGAGAAATGAAAGCAGAAAGCCTTTTGCTAAAGGTTTTAACAGTTTTGTTGCTTAAATCAGTCACAAAAACATTTTGAGGAAACTAAAAGTTAAGGAAATGTCTGAAATCTGCCAATAAACCACATGTTAAGCATAATAAAACTGACAATAATAATTTTAGAGTTTTGAATTGGTTATGGTTTAAACATAAATGTCACTGTGAAATATTAATGAACTACACTGCTAGAAATTGCCAGTCCACCATTTCTAGCCTTTTTATAAATATTAAACTTGACTCCACAACCCAAGTGTAAAATTACTGCTGTATTAAACGGTGCAATTTTATCAACCTCTGAGCAGACAAAGTTGTAAGATTGCTTCCTTTGCCTTTAACACTTACTTCTAGAACAGGGTATGTGACTGGGTTGCTTGTTTCTCTAGGGAGACTGAGAGCACCACTGTTGAAATGTGTGTCATGGCTGGAACCACGTCTCTTGTGCATCTTCAGCAGGTGTTTCTGAAGACATAAAAATCACACAAAGTGTTTAAAAAATATGCAAATAACACAGTTTATAAGAAAAATAACTGGCACTAGGAATACATGTTAATTTTCTCAAAACTTTATGAAATACAGAATACACATTTACAGCACAATAAATTATAAGCATTTTTTTGTTAAAATTATCAATTAAATTTTTTAACCTATAATAATATCAAAAATATAGAGCAATGAACAACTGTACAAAGTCTTCCCTGTAGGTAATAGAAATAAATGCTGAAACTAAAAACAAACAATTGACATTAGCAGTTTCAAACAGTAAAATGCAAATGAAGAGAGAATTTAAGAAAAGCCATAATATGAATAACTTAGGGTGTTAGGCAGGCAGCAAAAGATTGTTAGCCCACCACTTACATAATCTGCAGTGCTAGAGGGTGTGGCAACTAGAGATTTCTTTATGCTCTGCAATACTGGACCTTTAGCTTTAACAGCACCCTGTGACTGGAAAGTGAGTGGCAGCCAAGGTGTTAACAAGAATATGTGATAATGTTTGATAGGGATGTTATTGAGGCTAAAGACCATATAAAAGTCTTGCTGGATATGAAATCCAAGCTAAAACCTAACTAATTGTGAAAACAGCTGTGTATATCAAAAGAGCTACCACGATAATACAAAATGAGACAAGAGAAAGCCAGTAAGCCCACAACCTCCCATTACAAAACAATGACAATAAGGCCTACAAAATGAATGCTGTAGGTGTCCCTACAATTGTTATTAAATTGCATCAGTTATAAAGGTTGTTTAAAATTTTCCAGGATAATATATCTCTATGAAAGATTCCCCTATGTGCCTCTAAGTCTTACTTTTTTGTACCTGCCCTGCATGAGCATAGCTTCTGGGGTAAAAGATCTACTATGCTGTCCAGATTCATCAGAACTCACAAGACTGAGAAGATTATCTGTAGAAGCCCTCAGCTTCTTTGAGGCATACATGAAAGTGTCCTACATGCAAATGGAACATCCAAAAATTCAGAACATGCTTCATGCAAATTATACAAAATTAATAATAAATTTCAAAGGTTGAGACTTGTTCTGTAGTAATAAAAAAAGATACTTGAGAAAAGAGGGGGGACATGGAGAAAAATACCAATAAATAATTAACAAATTGTCAACATACACACCTTTATTGACTGTCCTACTGACTTACTTCTCCTGTGCTTGTTCTCGTCATGTGGGGTTCCCATTCCATTGGCTTTGTTAAACTGAAATCAACAGAAAACATGCCTGTCTAGTGAGCAACATCATTGATGGAAGGATAAAATAACATACACACAGATACTGTTAAATGAGATGCTTTTTATATGAATCAATAGATAAATCAAGATTATAGTGATGGGGAAACATATTGGGGCAAACTCCATTGATTGTACCTGCTTTAGTAGCTTTCTTTTCTTGGTAGAGTCTGGCATATTCTGCACATGAGCATATAACTGTGCCAGCGCCACCTCGGTGTCTGAAGCTGCACCAAGTTCCTTTGATTTAACTCTGTCCACATATGTAACTGTTGTCTTCACAGCATCATCACTGTCTGGAGATGTCTAGTTAACAATTAATATAATTGACTTAAAAACTAAACAAATGTATAAGTTACTAGGGATAAGATATCTTTATATCAAAACAAATACTTTTCTAGATTCTTCTGCCTTTTTGATCAAAGAAATGCTTTTGTTTCCCTTCTGGAACGATATTTATATCAAGCAATGATGGAACTAATACATTAGTCTGTACAAAAGCACAATTCACCCTTCTGTGATCCAGATCATCCTCACTGTCCTGCCCCAATCTCTGCCTTTCCCTATAGTATATGTCAATGTCATGAACCAAATCTTTAGGCACCTGCACAGAAAGACAAAATTAATACATAATATTGTATACGTTTTCTTTTTTTTTTTTCAAGCACTGAATTTTAATTCTGATTTTCTGATTTATAAATTTACTATAACTGGATTACAAGAACAAATTTGGAAAACGTGTTTGAAAAACTGTTTATCAGTCTTACCATGAATAATTGTGGGGAGTGCTGAATCATAAAAGAAACTGTATTGGACAAATTCTGTGCTGCCTGTTGGAGCCCAATGCCAGTCATCTAAAGAGAAATTAAAATCATTCAAAGTGTTTATCTGATCATGAAAGGACTTCCAACTCTTTTCATCTGTTTGATTGTTGTAAAAATCAGAAGAAAAAACTTTTGAATTAGTAAATCTTTTCCTTAGAGACAGAAAAGTTACTGAATTTACCATAAAACATCTGAAAACAGTACCCTATTACATCAATGTTCCCAGAGTGTAGTCTTAATATTTCCAAGAGTTGGAAGAACTCGTGTCAGGAGAGAATATATTATATGGAATTTAAACCTTAGAACACACTCAACATCAAATGGCCCATACCTTCTTAGGACAGAGCAAGTGTGGGGCAAACATTGCACCTAAATTCTCAGCAGTCATTTTGTTCTCCTCCACACTGGCCACCTGGTGCAGCATGGTTAGCAGCTTCCTCAGCAGAGTGGCATTCTCTACCGGCAGCAGAAGGAACAGCAGCTGTACTGTCTTGATCTGTTTGGGAACCACTATGTTATCAATTGTGACCTGGTCCATGCCCTCACGGATCATGTCTGGAAGGTGACTAGACTTACAACCCAAAGAGCAGAAACAGCATTTAAAAATAGCAAACCAGCCAGCAAAAATGTGGCCATATTGTATTATGAAATATGTTAAATATACATTTAACTTCTTTCAAGTACAACATAATGCTTTCACAAAGTTGCTTCTTTAATTCCAATAATTAGGAATTCTACACAATTTTAATCTCAATATACCATTACAAATTTTGAACAAATGATTTGTAGAACAACCTGGCACTTGGCAATATGCAGCATATAATCTCTCCATGAGTAAAGGTTCTGGTAACTCTCCCAGGAACCACTTTAGAACACAGGCACAGTCATGTGCATTGTAAGGACTGCTGTCCAAGTCAAGGGTGCAGCCTTGGGTCAACTTTTCTTTCAGTTCTTTCTGTCTTGTACAGTTTCCTGCTTTCCTGAATATTCCCTCAAGGGCTATATCTGGAATTTATTTACAAATAATGTATCTTTTAAAACTGCATCATAGAGTTAATTTGAAAAAAATTGTTTTAGATAACATGCAGCTTATTATCACTGTCCAATATATTTATAGTTTTCATGCTTATGTTTGTATAAATAAACATTTTTATTTCTACTAGTAATACAAAAGGAAACAAGAAATTGCACTCACTGTCAGGTTCAGAAATAAAATCAATTAGTTCAATAATACCAGAGTTGCAGGATGAAAGATCTGTGTAGCTCGAACTGCTACCAGTTTTATCTAAAAATATATATACATATACAAAAATATCAAAATATTTGTGAAGAATGACCTTACTACTGTTAACAATTAAATTATTAGATGATGCACCTAAAATGATGTAATTTATAGTTTTCCATGAAAAGAAGTATACAATATACATTTCACACTTTTTCTTTTTACTTAACCTCTGTTAAAATTATACTGACAGTCTGTTAGTTGATGGCAACTAAAATGATGTCCTTTAAAAGTTTTTCCATGATAAGAAAATACAATAAACATTTCATACTTTTTCTTTTCAAGAAAGGCGTATGACCTTTCTTAATCTTGTTCTCTTCAGATTTTTCAAATAAATCGTCCAAAGTGGGCATATCAACCATGAATGAGAGGTGCATCTTGATGAGGGCATTGAACTGGTCCGTGTCTTCCGTTTTCAGCTGGTGGACGAGAGCCTCGGCATCCAGCTCGCGCCTCTTTAAGCTCGATTTTGACATGGTTAATGCTACTACTGAGAAAAATATTTTAAAAAAATATATTTACCAAAAAGGTAAAAACACTTACTGCTGCCCAAGAGATAATGACAATAAATGGGACATTTTTAAATTTTATTTCAAACTGAATTTTAAACAAGGTGAAGGCAGTTGCGGAACAAAATCTATATTGAACTTGATCAAGGACCAGTCGTCAATCTACCAAAAAGGTCATGTAACAGAGTAAATCAAACTTGCCTATTAAGACTTTGCACAACTATTATTTAGTTTTTCAATTGTAATTCACCTACCAGGTTATATCACTGCATTTTGCTTATTTGCAGCCTTCAAATATGGCGCTTGTTTGATTCGTTTGCTAGGCTATCATTGGACAATGGTTTTGTAAACTGCCGGCCCATTGGGCAAAAGATTAGACTCGATTTGAAATTAGGTCATTACGGCATGGCTATGTGATTGACACACTTGCAAGGTGACAGGTAACTTTGCCGGCAAGCAAAGCGGTAAGTCATTAAATGCATAGATCGATGAATGTCGTATTTGTGTGTAGCTAAATCAAGCAATTTACTGGTATATGTGTATTTTTCTAAATGAGGTAAATGTAGCAGCACCATCGACCTGTAGACTACTTCACCACATACAGTACATGTAGTAACATTTTTTACAGCATATGTCACTGAAGTACTGTAGCACATGTAGTAGTAGTTGTAGTAGTTATTTATAGAAATGCTTCTAGGCAGGATAGACTCTCCGGCATAAACAAATGTATGCCTGTGTGTTTACTGTTTTTATTACTTGAACCAAAATTGGCACTATAACAGCAGAGAAAGGGAGAGTTTATACTATTATAAAAACCTCAGCTATGGTACCGAATTACAGCAATGCAGTAGTACCAACATCATTGAAATGTTTATAAATATTAGTGATATGAAATACCATATTTTGTTGTAAAACTGGGTGGCACTTTTCTTACACAGTGCATGCATTACAGCTGTAACTTTGATAATTTATTCTTAATTAATTTGGTTGAAACAAAGGACTCAAGATAACTTTATTGTCAGTAACTTAAAGCAAATAACAGATGAAAATTTTCATCATTTCTGTTCTCTGTATTTCCCAGTCAGCGACTTGCATTCAAGTTAAATTTAGAGATTTGAGGATAATTTGACCTTATTTGAAGATGTCGTCCCAGTGTTCATTTCGTCAGACTGATGAGAAACATGTGACAACAGAAGTGGAACTTATGGAATGGTCTCCAAAAATGGACCTTTTGGCAGTGGCAAATATCCAGGGAGAGGTATCCGTATGGCATTCACCCTGAATTGTAGTGTTGTCTACTTTTTATAATCACTGTTTAATTTTATTGTTATTCACATTCCAAGGATGGCATAAAATCCTTATGTCATACTTGTATCATATTTTGTAGACATGATAAAAGAATATATGAAAAAAACTTTCAAAGATATTTTTTCTAACATGCAGAGTGGAAATGCCTACAACTTCTCTCCAATAATTAATGCACCGTTTGCACGTGTCATTAGTCCAGATTATGTTTTTTTTTTATTATTTCAGGTTTTGTTACACAGGCTATCATGGCAGAGGGTATGGAGCCTGCCACCTCCCACTGAGAACAGCAAAGTTAAAGCAATAGCATGGAGGACTGATGGAAAAGGTTAACTCCTTTATTTTTTCTTCTTTTTATGCTGAAAGAAATTCTGTTATCCTGGGTAATCTTCATGATAGTTGTATTTTTTTTATTCAGTCTGTCTAAAAAAAGATTTGAAAACTTTTATTTCTTGACCTCCGATTTAATTAAAAGTGTAGTAATGAAAAAATATAATACAATAAGAATATATAGAAGCTCAAGGGATTATGAGGGATTGTTGAAAATTGCGACAATGAAAGTGTAGAATTTTTTAAATTACACTGCTATCAAAAATGATTTATGATTTATGATTGACACAAAGGTGCTAACTTTTGTTTAGACAAACATAGTATTTGAAAAAGGGACAACTGTCATCGTACATGTATGAATTATTCAAGTTTTTTTTCAATCTTTATTCAATTATCTTTTAAAAAAAGCATAGCAATAAAATCTGGCAATTTAAGTAAAATGCCACTTGTCCAATAACATTAGTTACAAGTTTTAGTCTCTCTTCAGTGTTAGCAGTTGGTTACATCAGTGGTGAGGTCCTGCTGTGTAATGTTGAGAATGCAGCCATCTTGCACACCCTTCATGTCCAGGGTGAGGTGTGCAGCATGCAGTGGATGTGTGACAGCATGGCACCAGCTGCAGGAAAGAAGTGCTATAAAGACAGATCTGCAGAATACCTACCAAAGATACCTACACTTAGCAAAAGGTATTACAAACATCTTTTGTGACTTTTGATTAGTGTTTTTGTTTAGTAGGAAAATATGTTTTGTTTTTATTTGTTTCTTTTGTAACAATTGTTGTAAAAGAAAACAATGAAACAATAATAAAAAAAAATATTTTTAACATGTAAGTAAGAATGAGTAGTTCTTCAGAAAAAAAACATAAGTCCAGGGAACATAAACATCACAGAATTAACATACTATATTTTCAGTTATGGATCCCTAAGCAAAGGACACAGGTAATTACAAATGTGCATAACAAAAGTATAAATATTTGTTTAAAAGTTTAATAAAAATAAAGCAGAAGCTTATCTTGTAGTTATGTAGCAGTGGTATTATTTTGAGTAATTACATGCATACAAATTTGAATCTGTCTACGGATCTGCACCTACTTTTTTATATTGTTCAGCCACCTGGTGCATTGTTTTTTTTTCTCTCTCTCTCTTTTTAAGGTGGGGTGCAATATTTTTTCATACGTTTTGTCTTGCACTTAGATGCTCAATTGATTAAGTGAAAAAATAGATTAAAAACAAAGTAAAAGACTAGAGATGATTAACTTTTCAAATCATTTTCTAAAAAGGTAGCAAAAGTATAACATATCGCCTAAGTTTTCTTTTTCTTCTATATAGCGAGGAAAATGTTGAAGATATGAAAAAATTAGCAGATCAAATTGGGTATGTTCATTCATATATGTGTATTTTTTAATCATTATACATGATTACTTCTAATGGTATATCACAAGCATTTATATGTGTTGTTCATAGGCACTGTGATAGCTATGATGTAATGCTGTTCATATGTACAATATATTGAGCCATTTGTAGTTATCATGATTTTCAATTGTTTATTGACATGTAACATTGACTGCCTATCTGATATTTGTCAGTTGTACTTTAATAGAATTATACCTATAAATTTAGAAAAAAATATTGTCAAGTAAAATGCATCAGTCTGCTTTATGATGTATTTGCCTGAAAAGAAAAATGAAACTGACAATGATATCTTTCAGATTAAATATCCTTCTAATTGGAAACAATGACAGTATTGTAAAACTATTTGCCTATGGCATATTCCCAGTTGGAGCAGTAAATCTCAAACAGCACAAGAATACAAAGGTAATGGTGGCAAATAATAAAACACTGCATTTTGGTATTGTAGGCAAGTTCTTTTAAAGAGTTTTGGATGTTCAGGAAGAATTGAGAAAGATATTTTCTGTATTTTTTTTTTAATTTTTATTTATTTATTATTATTATTATTTATTTTTTTTTTTTTTTTTGCATTGCTGTGTTCCTACTTCTGAAGTGACCACAGAAAAATTACACAACAAAGGACTAAAATATATAATATAATAAAAATGTGATGTGGTCTTGTGATGTGATGTTATTTAAGCAAGCAGGATTGTAAATGGTTATGTTTCTGCTATGATACAGGCAGGCAGGATCATATCACTAAGTCTGTCTGAGGATCTGCACTTATTGTCCTTGATTGTACAGTCACCAAAGATGGAAGATCAACAAGACCAGGATGTTTATCTTCTGTCTGTGAGTCACCATATATCATTATGGTATAATTTTAGCCATTGGAGAGAACATTGTGCTTTATTATTTTGATATAAAAGGACAGGAGTCTAACTGATGTTTTTTGTGATCTCACTACTTACACAATCTTCAACATACCATTTTGAATTGCATCAGGTTTCTTGTTAAAGCTATTTTTTAAAAATTTCATTGCAAAATAAAAATGTTTTGTTTCGGATTTAATTCTTTTTGTGTCACAAATATACCAAAACTATATGTTTATCATGTTTGTTGTTATTAATAGTATTATTATTCATAATTAGTTTGAGTCTACCCTTCTGGCATCACGTTATGAAGAAGTGCAAGCTTTGGCTTTCAAATATGGGCATGTGGTTACATTACTCGAAGTAAGTTGTACATATTTCTTTAAACAACTAAATAAAATTATTTGTTTGCCTATTGAATCAAGTGACCTTATTCATTAATATGAGAAATCAGCTGAACAAGATTAACTCAGATCAGTAATTTTACAGAGAAATGTGCTGACTTAAAGCCATGGGTGTACATGTAGCTATAGTCTTTCTTTTCTTCCCTTCTTTTCTTGAATTTTTGTTTATATCAGCATTTGAGGGTTATCATCAAACAAATGTCTGAGGCCTGGGAGGATATTCTGCTGGAAATGGACTCAAAACTGGTGAAATTTGCTGAAGAAAAATATGTAAGTTCATATATTTTACATGTCATGTTGAGCTTAGAAATAGTGTTTGAATTACTAACATAACAGCATATGTGTTCATTAACTTGCTGACTCCGACATTTGTTTCTCTAGCAGAGATGTGGATTCTCCAAAGGCAGCCAGAGAAATCCAGCTATTAGTGTGATTAAACAAACTCTTTGTTAACAGTACAAAATATTCCCTATATACATATATTAAACACAACAAAAAATGCATAATATATCAAAAGTGATTCTTTTAGTAAAGAACATTGAAGCCAATTAAAATACATCTATTAGACCTTCAACACAATTAAACTGAGGCTGATTTTATCTTTAACCAAGGAGATGAAGCCATAATTGATGTTACTCAATCCTTTTACAACTGAAAGTATCCTTAAAAACTTAATTACAGTTCTTTCAAATGAATAACATGCATTCAGATATTCAGGCAATTTTATTATTACTTTTCTGAAATTTCTTAGATAATTTTACCAAACTTTGACATAATTTTATTGAAAACAAGTTTCTCAAATTATATATTTTTCCTTGAAGTCCTTTCTATGATATTACTTAAAAACACTAAATATCTGGATGTTAAACATGGCTCTTCACATATTTAGTATTTTTGTTACAATATTTGCATTGCAGATGTTGGGGACAGGTACTGTGAGCAATGATTTCCTTGAGCTATTGCTGTTTGGAACTCCTAGGTGATGTATTTTCACTGTCTATTCTTGTGTGGCATAGATACTTGATTGACAGTAAAGTGACATGAATATTTTAAAGGATGTTTCTCAAACAATTTTTTAGTTCATTAAGCAGTTTTTATTGCAAAGATTTTTATTTTACGAGCGTATATGAACATTTTAAGCATTATTATATTGTGTTTAATTTTAGTGATGAGTTGCAGTCCTTCCTTCTTCATGACTTGACAGAGAAGGTATGTCCATAGTTTGTAGTTTATAAATATAAGCAATAAGTAGTGGATTTTGCTCATTGTCATTGATGTCCAAAAGCATGTTATCTTCATTAATAAAAAAAGATGACTTGAACTGAAATGTCACTATAGCACGCAAGGGCTATACAGATAAATTATAAGTCAAGGAAAAGCATATGTTGATTTGGTGACAGGGTTTCTAGGTCGTAGTAATGATCTGCTTTGCGTATCAATGGACGATCATTCACTTCAGCAAGTACGCTAAGTAATGTCTCATCATCCACTAATCTATTCCCCAAGATTGAATGCATGATTTTCCGTACTGATCTGATTTAACGCTCCCATACGCCGCCTGCATGGCTTGCACTTGGAGGATTGAAATGCCATTGAAAGTTGCGTTGTAACAGAGAATCGTCGATTTTTTCTTGATTCCACTCCTGTAAAATGCGTTTAAGATCTGCTTCTGCACTTCTGAAATTGGTCCCGTTATCACTGAATATTTCACACAGTGGTCCTCGTCGACTAATAAAATGCAAAACCACTTGTATGAATGAATCTGATGCCAGATTAAAGGATATCTCTAAATGCACTGCTCTTGTTGCCATACATGTAAAAATGCAACCATACTGCTTGTTTGTTCCTCTTCTACATTTCACTAATAGCGGTCCAAAGTAGTCTACATCAACAATGAAATGGTGGGTTCCCTGGAGTCACACGACTTCTTGGAAGTGGGGCTTTTAGCTCTTGCTCACGGTATCGACGCCTTAGTTCGGCTTCTGCTTCTTCAAATTCCAACTGAGCATTAGCCATAGCAAGTGCTGCTTTTGTCTTTTGAGATTACGATACTGAACTCAAACTGTTGGTTTTGAATTATCTATGGGATGGTCCAAAATCAACTAAGCTGCCGTGATAAGCCATGGTGGAAATTTCAGTGGGATGATAGAAGTGTTTTTACTTTATATAGCACGCAAGGGCTATACAGATAAATTAAAAGTCAAGGAAAAGTGTATGTTGTTCACTGGTCCTTGGTTTTATTTCACAAAGGAATTCACAAGACACGTAAAAACTAAAAAGAAAAAAAACAAAACAAAAAGAAAATTACAATAATGCCCTCACTACCAGTTATTTACGTGCTTAAATTTTTACATAAAAAATGATAAATTTCAGTAATTATCAATAGTCAATAATAATCAATATTAACAGTATGAAAAACTCACCATTTCTGCCATTCCTTTGACTATAAATTGCAAGTAGCAAAAGTGAAAATAGCTGATCAAAAAGAAAGAGTACACTATGTGTTCCTCCTACGGAGACACTGTGCTGAATGAAATAAAAAGCAAACTCGTGGGCCACCACCCTGAATGAAAAGCTGTCATATATGCAAATGAATGTTTATTGCATTAGTTGAGCCAGTCACCTGGCTCCTCAACCTCAATAAAAGTAAACTAAACCTTACAGTCACCTTTGTTTGGCCTCATCTTGTTATTCTATGAATGTTTTAAAGTTTGAGAAATTCACACTTTATGTAATATTAAATACTTTTTCCTTTAACTTCTTAGGGTTTAAAGAAATTGGGTCATTCCATAGAAACATCCTATTCTAATATACAAAAACTGGTGTTGAAGCATTTACAGAGGTAAGTGAAAGCATAGTAGAAAAATTAAATGTCACATGTACACGAATAAAAAGCATCACGGATTTCTTTAAATATATATCTGAAGTGTATTATAATGCTTCTAATTATGCCTTATTATTTATGAAATATTTGCTCTTGTTTTCCAGTGTAACCCAAGCACTCATTTACCATTTGAATGAGATAGCAGGGATGGCTAGTTGGTATGATAGATTTGGTCTGCTCGGCTTGTCCAGTCCCAGCGTACAAGAGGCTGTTCAAATGGCAGGAGCTTTTATGCTGAAAGCAGTAGAACTGCAGCAGTAAGTTGAAACAGTCATTTCTGATCACTTTTTCTATTTCCTTTGAAATAGGCATAGATTGATGAAACTCTGTTCAGTTATAGTTATGCAAAATATATTTTATTGTCTTATTTCTTAGGGTCATTGATGGGAGCATGAAAAATTTCAAAGCATTCTTTAGATGGCTGTACGTTGGTATGTATATAAGTTGAAAATATGAGGCTTGATTAAACTTCACTTGAAGTCCTATAATTATCTTCAAAATATTGAGGCAGAATTCTTTACAACATCCACATATTTTATCTCTTGTTTGAATCCAATTATGTACTTTTTTCATAAAAAAGCATGTAGCTTTTTTAATTACTACCTGTAGTGTTAGTTATGATTAATTAGACTTAAGGAATATTTAACTGAATTACAAACTTAACTTAAAATATGTATTTTTATTTATTTAGTGATTCAGAGGCTGTCCCAGGAAGCTATCCCAGCAGAGCTCAGCAAAGTATGGGTGATAGAATATAGATTGTAAACCTTTTTGACTGTTAATGTTTTCTTTGAGAGATTTTTAAATATTATTAATGAAAATGTCTTTGCCATGTAAATGTGTGTTAAACAAATATTTTATAAGTATTCAAATGTTACTTTTATTGAATTTTTATTATTTTGTCCACTTTTACCTAATTACGATTGTCTTTTCTATAGATGACTCAACAAGATTTGAACTTTGTCACAGATTTCCTAAAGGAATATTTTACTGAGGTAAGTTGTTCAGTGTCCAAGACAAATGGTGGCTATAATATAATTCCAGAATTATTTGAAGCAACTTCAAATGTAATGAAATTGTCTGTCACCCATTATAATGTGATAATGTTAAACTGATTTTACCTGGAGAGGTCTATAAGTCTGAAAAATTAATTTTCTTCTACTTATTACTTTTTGCAAAAGGGCAATTTCCTCCACAGGTTAAGCTAAGTCTGGACCATTTGCTTATTTTTATAATCAATATAGCGCATTATGTCCATAATCCTTATTTGATTTTAGGAAATGGATGGCAGCTGTAAATCAGGATTCAAATTAGAAAAAGTGGGGCAGGTAATTATTTATGTTTTCTTTCTTATTATGATAGATTTTCTCTCATTCACATAATGTTTGGAGTATTTTTGAAATAGTACAATAGTGAAGTTATAAAAACAGAACTTTAAACTTAAATTTAACTTCAGTACTTGAAACATGAAGAGCTCCAGGAACCTCTTCCAAACACAGATAATCCATGGCTGAAGTTTGTCAATTCTAGTCAGCTGTTGCAAGGTGAGGTTATTTTAATTACTTTGACGGTAAATTACAAATGTAAGTAATTTTTTGTTTGTTTTAATGTTTTTGGCACTCAAAACTTTTTATATAATGCTTTCTGTCATTAATTGTTTAATTTTATTGTCAGTATGTTTTAAAAAGTTGTTTATATTATCTTTGACATTTATTTTAGAAAGCCCAGTGCTGTTCAAACCGCAAGTCAGACAGTCCTTGGTCCAGGTGGAAGATAATCTAAGAACTGCGATAAATGTTGCTCTTACTAAACCCTCTGTAAGTATTTTATACATTTTTTGAAACTGCAACAATATGCTTGCACGCGTTTGCAGATGCACAGCAGTGTGTGTCACTATTATTTAAACAGGTCTACTATTCACATTACTTAAGCAGTGGTAGAAATTATTATAATGCAAACAAACAGCTTGTGCATTGATTTCTTTTCAAAAGCTGCTTGACATAATAATGGTGTGAAAAATGTAAAAGTCATTTTATATTACATATCACCAGAATGCTTTTAAAATTGTGAGCAGAATTGACATCAGATATATGTTTGACACTTTCTTTTCAGTAATATACAACATTTCTGTTTTAGAGTGCAATCGGGCAATCTTTACAATGTAGTGGATCTTCTTATCTGTTCACATATCAAAATATGTAAGTATATCAGTAACAGTAGCAAATAATTTTGTAGCATTACAGAAATAATTATGTACATGTATATAGCAGAAATTATGGTTATTCATTCACTTAAACCTTAAGCAGCAAGTTTATATTAATTTATCTGTTTTATTTTTATGTGTGACATTTTCTTTTACAGGGAAGAAAAAGAAGAAAAAAATAAACTACTCAAACCAAAGTTTACACAGTGAGTTTTTTTTTTTTTTTAGTTTTTATTTTCTCTTTTCTTTTGGCAAAGGCAAGTTTCAAAACATAGTTGCTTCGTCATGCCCATAAATAATGTGTAATTTGTTTCCAAAAGGCCAAAGAAAACCACTTTTGTCATTTGAATGGTTTAAAAACTCCTTTCATAAGAATCTTCTTGTATATATCTTCACAAAAGCAATAAAAGCTATGTATTTGCCTTGCAGCTTCACTGTTTGCAATCAGCAAGCTTACCAGTATGTGGTGTTTACAGCATCTTGCTCACCATCAGATTATCTATACCTTGTCAGACAAAAAACACATGCAGGGTGAGTAGCCTAGTTGGTGTTAACTGTTAAACATTATAAGATTAAACTGTTAACATAATAAGATGACATTGATAAATACTTTCTTCTTGCTTTCATGTTTCAGCTGCATTTGCATTTGTTATATATATATTTATTTATTATTTTTTAACTGAAGAATTACCAATGTTCTCTGTTTTGTAGATCTGATGGAGCTGACATTTCTGTTGTGAAACTTAAGTTTGGTTGTCTAGGCACAACTAACAGGGAAGAAAGTGGTAGGGATGACAGGTACTGTATACCAAGTTATCATATCTGCTTTGTCATGCTGTACACTTTATGTTAATAAAAATTATAATAAAGGGATGGGAGTTTACGTTAGAAGCTCTATGCTTATCGTGTTAAACAGTAGTAGACAGACTCTATTTACCCTGCCATTTTGGGATATTTGACAATGAACCTGAAGTATTTTTTATGGTTTGATTAATCCTTCTGTGCCATATGTTGAAGATCGTTATTTTATAGCTGTTCATTAGTCATAAAACATGAAGTTAATTGTTTATATACAATAATATGAGATATTGATCCTTTTTTAGCAGGGTTAACCAAAGGTGATATTTTTAATATTATCTATATGGTGATTTGGTTCGTTTCATCTAATTATAATAGATAAAAGCCAGGAGAGAGGCTAAACTACAGTTACTTACTACTGTTTGTCTAGACTCCACTTTGTAGATATGAAAGTCATAAAAATCCACAAATGAAATATTCATTCACACGTCAGTCATCATGTGGATTTGAAATATTTAAATTTTATTATGACTGTAGAAACTTCACAGTTGTCAAAAATGGTTATAGAAAAGAAATGCAAAAATATTTTACTATTAATAAGCATGCTAATTGTACAACAAATCAAATCACAATCAGCGTTTACATGCAACTAAGTACACGTGTGCAAGGGTTTGAGAGAGAGAGAGAGAGAAACCACAGCAGTACAGAAAACACTTTGCATCACCAATAATTGCCCTTTTTATACATGGTTTAAGGGACATAATGCAGAAATCATGCTAAATGAACATATGTATTACAATGTTGCCTGTGGTAGAAAATGTTAGTATTGCCTAGCGAATAATGACACATTGCTCAGAGGAAGCTCTTTGAAATCACTACTAGTTTTCCTGTTGGTTGTATTTATGGTCAGTAAATGATTATACCTTCTGGTCATCTAACTCCCCAGATGACCAGTGGCTTACTGATCAAGGCAGACTCATGTTAATGTCATAAGTTAGAATGAATATAACTCACTGAATAATGCTTATTAGCATAGTTCTGGTCAGATGACAGAAAGTGATGCAGAACAAACAGAATGACTTCTTTAATGTTATGATTTTAGTATTAAAGATTGCAGTTGGTCATGTAATTCTATAAATATGATACTTGGGTATAAAATTGTTTTATATATTTTCTTCTCCATTGCCATTTTTTTATTTACAACACTGATTTCTTTGGCGATATGCTAATAAAATTTTATCTCCCATGCTGTTCATGAGTAAGTTACAAGTTAATAACAGGTGTGTAACAGTGCATTTTATCATTCATTTATCATATAAGCAATAATGCTTTGTACTTGATTTCTTATCATATAAGAAATTAATTGTAAAGTGTGAGAACTTTAATTAAGGGACTAGTTCAATTGAGAATCTGCATATTTTAAGATACACAAATCTCGTCTGCTCTCCAGGAGCAGTTTGATTGGTCATTTTATATCATTGTCTGCATCAGTGTATTTTTCGTTTTCACTGCCTTGAATGAGCTCTGTGTTTGAAGTGGTGTTTAGGTCTGGTCTTGCTCCTAAACTTGTAAGTGGTGCTGTTGATGTGAACTCTGGGATGCTTCTTGTGTGTCTGCTTTTTCACAGGACAGTGAGAATCTGGAAGAGTAAAATAAGTTATAACAAATGCATAATTATCATATATACACTTGTAGTATTGAAACTTGGTATTAATCAGGTTTTTGTTAAGTCCAAAACATTTTATAATCAAACAATAGGTTAATTACCTTCAGATTACTAACTTATTTATCAAATTCAATTAATTACTCACACATATTTTTTCCTATTAAAAATAGTAATTATATATTCATAAGAAATTTAACCCTAAATACTTCATTTAAGTCATACATACTTTACATTGATTATTTAAAGGTTTGTGTTAAAAAGAGCAAATATGATATGGCCATACAGGAACCTTGGATTATACAAAGGCATGAGTTTTATTGATGTATCACTTACAATGTTTCTACACAAACTTCATTTATCACATTAGTTTGAAGTTACCATAAGGTGAGAAAAATTGTTCAAGGGCCTCCTACCAGGATATCTAAGTGGATAATTAGGGGGATTTTGTCATGTGGTTATGAGTGGATTGCCTTATCACTTGGGCTTTAAGTGGTAGAGGACCATATGGTGCCCTTACCTTGGTTGAAGATTAGATACCCAAGTATTTGGTAGGGTTAGTGATTAGTCTACCTGTGTAGTGGATTTATTGCTACTTTTCACTTATTGACAATGGCAGAGTTTGTATTACTTCAACTAATTTGGCAATATGTTGAGTGTAGTGGTATTTTGTGAACAGAACATCTGTTATATTTTTCTGGAGGTATATTGTGATGCAACTATGATACGGGGTTGAGAAATATTAGAACAAAGGGAAATGTACCTGTAGCAGGTTATGGTCCAGATGTTATTTTCAACCGATTGAAGATTTATAGCAAAAATTCAAGGGNGTCATTATCACTTTAAATACAATAGTGAAGTTATAAAAACAGAACTTTAAACTTAAATTTAACTTCAGTACTTGAAACATGAAGAGCTCCAGGAACCTCTTCCAAACACAGATAATCCATGGCTGAAGTTTGTCAATTCTAGTCAGCTGTTGCAAGGTGAGGTTACTTTAATTACTTTGACTTGACAGTAAATTACAAATGTAAGTAATTTTTTGTTTGTTTTAATGTTTTTGGCGCTCAAAACTTTTTATGTAATGCTTTCTGTCATTAATTGTTTTATTTTATTGTCAGTATGTTTTAAAAATGTTGTTTATATTATCTTTGACATTTATTTTAGAAAGCCCAGTGCTGTTCAAAGCGCAAGTCAGACAGTCCTTGGTCCAGGTGGAAGATAATCTAAGAACTGCGATAAATGTTGCTCTTACTAAACCCTCTGTAAGTATTTTATACATTTTTTGAAACTGCAACAATATGCTTGCACGCGTTTGCAGATTCACAGCAGTGTATGTCACTATTATTTAAACAGGTCTACTATTCACATTACTTAAGCAGTGGTAGAAATTATTATGATGCAAACAAACAGCTTGTGCATTGATTTCTTTTCCAAAGCTGCTTGACATAATAATGGTGTGAAAAATGTAAAAGTTATTTTATATTACATATCACTAGAATGCTTTTAAAATTGTGAGCAGAATTGACATCAGATATGTGTTTGACACTTAATTTCTTTTCAGTAATATACAACATTTCTGTTTTAGAGTGCAATCGGGCAATCTTTACAATGCAGTGGATCTTCTTATCTGTTCACATATCAAAATATGTAAGTATATCAGTAACAGTAGCAAACAATTTTGTTGCATTACAGAAATAATTATGTACATGTATATAGCAGAAATTATGGTTGTTCATTCACTTAAACCTTAAGTAGCAAGTTTATATTAATTTATCTGTTTTATTTTTATGTGTGACATTTTCTTTTACAGGGATGAAAAAGAAGAAAAAAATAAACTACTCAAACCAAAGTTTACACAGTGAGTTTTTTTTTTTCTCTTTTCTTTTGGCAAAGGCAAGTTTCAAAACATAGTTGCTTCCTCATGCCCATAAATTATGTGTAATTTGTTACCAAAAGGCCAAAGAAAACCACTTCTGTCATTTGAATGGTTTAAAAACTCCTTTCATAAGAATCTTCTTGTATATATCTTCACAAAAGCAATAAAAGCTATGTATTTGCCTTGCAGCTTCACTGTTTGCAATCAGCAAGCTTACCAGTATGTGGTGTTTACAGCATCTTGCTCACCATCAGATTATCTATACCTTGTCAGACAAAAAACACATGCAGGGTGAGTAGCCTAGTTGGTGTTAACTGTTAAACATTGTTTCTGTATAACTCATTGAAAAAAATAAGATGACGTTGATAAATACTTTCTTCTTGCTTTCATGTTTCAGCTGCATTTGCATTTGTTATATATTTATTTATTATTTTTTAACTGAAGAGTTACCAATGTTCTATGTTTTGTAGATCTGATGGAGCTGACATTTCTATTGTGAAACTTAAGTTTGGTTGTCTAGGCACAACTAACAGGGAAGAAAGTGGTAGGGATGACAGGTACTGTATACCAAGTTATCATATCTGCTTTGTCATGCTGTACACTTTATGTTAATAAAAATTATAATAAAGGGATGGGAGTTTACATGAGAAGCTCTATGCTTATCGTGTTAAACGGTAGTAGACAGACTCTATTTACCCTGCCATTTTGGGATATTTGACAATGAACCTGAAGTATTTTTTATGGTTTGATTAATCCTTCTGTGCCATATGTTGAAGTTCGTTATTTTATAGCTGTTCATTAGTCATAAAACATGAAGTTAATTGTTTACCTACAATAATATGAGATATTGATCCTTTTTTAGCAGGGTTAACCAAAGGTGATATTTTTAATATTATCTATATGGTGATTTGGTTCGTTTCATCTAATTATAATAGATAAAAGCCAGGAGAGAGGCTAAACTACAGTTACTTACTACTGTTTGTCTAGACTCCACTTTGTAGATATGAAAGTCATAAAAATCCACAAATGAAATATTCATTCAGACAGAGTCATCATGTGGATTTGAAATATTTAAATTTTATTATGACTGTAGAAACTTCACAGTTCTCAAAAATGGTTATAGAAAAGAAATGCAAAAATATTTTACTATTAATAAGCATGCTAATTGTACAACAAATCAAATCACAATCAGCGTTTACATGCAACTAAGTAAGTACACGTGTGCAAGGGTTTGAGAGAGAGAGAGAGAGAGAGAGAGAGAGAGAAACCACAGCAGTACAGAAAACACTTTGCATCACCAATAATTCCCCTCTTTATACATGGTTTAAGGGACATAATGCAGAAATCATGCTAAATGAACATATGTATTACAATGTTGCCTGTGGTAGAAAATGTTAGTATTGCCTAGCGAATAATGAAACATTGCTCAGAGGAAGCTCTTTGAAATCACTACTAGTTTTCCTGTTGGTTGTATTTATGGTCAGTAAATGATTATACCTTCTGGTCATCTAACTCCCCAGATGACCAGTGGCTTACTGATCAAGGCAGATGCATGTTAATGTCATAAGTTAGAATGAATATAAGGCTTCATTCACATGGAATGTCTATTTTCAAAAAATCTATTTTCTATTCGCGCTATCTTATGATCACGGTCTGTGCCCTGAATATCCCGCGGCGTAATTACTGGCAGCGCGAGCCAGTTACTTATAGTAACTTATAGTAACTGGCTCGCGCTGCCAGTAATTACGCCGCGGGATATTCAGGGCACAGACCGTGATCATAAGACATACCGCAAATAGAAAATAGAATTTAGAAAATAGACATTGCATGTGAATGAAGCCTAACTCACTGAATAATGCTTATTAGCATAGTTCTGGTCAGATGACAGAAAGGGATGCAGAACAAACAGAATGACTTCTTTAATGTTATGATTTTAGTATTAAAGATTGCAGTTGGTCATGTAATTCTATAAATATGATACTTGGGTATAAAATTGTTTTATATATTTTCTTCTCCATTGCCATTTTTTTTATTTACAACACTGATTTCTTTGGCGATATGCTAATAAAATTTTATCTCCCATGCTGTTCATGAGTAAGTTACAAGTTAATAACAGGTGTGTAACAGTGCATTTTATCATTCATTTATCATATAAGCAATAATGCTTTGTACTTGATTTCTTATCATATAAGAAATTAATTGTAAAGTGTGAGAACTTTAATTATGGGACTAGTTCAATTGAGAATCTGCATATTTTAAGATACACAAATCTCGTCTGCTCTCCAGGAGCAGTTTGATTGGTCAGTTTATATCATTGTCTGCATCAGTGTATTTTCGTTTTCACTGCCTTGAATGAGCTCTGTGTTTGAAGTGGTGTTTAGGTCTGGTCTTGCTCCTAAACTTGTAAGTGGTGCTGTTGATGTGCACTCTGGGATGCTTCTTGTGTGTCTGCTTTTTCACAGGACAGTGAGAATCTGGAAGAGTAAAATAAGTTATAACAAATGCATAATTATCATATAGACACTTGTAGTATTGAAACTTGGTATTAATCAGGTTTTTGTTAAGTCCAAAACATTTTATAATCAAACAATTGGTTAATTACCTTTAGATTACTAACTTATTTATCAAATTCAATTAATTACTCACACATATTTTTTCCTATTAAAAATAGTCATTATATATTCATTAGAAATTTAACCCTAAATACTTCATTTAAGATATACATACTTTACATTGATTATTTAAAGGTTTGTGTTAAAAAGAGCAAATATGATATGGTCATACAGGAACCTTGGATTATACAAAGGCATGAGTTTTATTGATGTATCACTTACAATGTTTCTACACAAACTTCATTTATCACATTAGTTTGAAGTTACCATAAGGTGAGAAAAATTGTTCAAGGGCCTCCTACCTGGATATCTAAGTGGATAATTAGGGGGATTTTGTCATGTGGTTATGAGTGGATTGCCTTATCACTTGGGCTTTAAGTGGTAGAGGACCATATGGTGCCCTTACCTTGGTTGAAGATTAGATACCCAAGTATTTGGTAGGGTTAGTGATTAGTCTACCTGTGTAGTGGATTTATTGCTACTTTTCACTTATTGACAATGGCAGAGTTTGTATTACTTCAACTAATTTGGCAATATGTTGAGTGTAGTGGTATTTTGTGAACAGAACATCTGTTATATTTTTCTGGAGGTATATTGTGATGCAACTATGATACGGGGTTGAGAAATATTAGAACAAAGGGATATGTACCTGTAGCAGGTTATGGTCCAGATGTTACTTTCAACCGATTGAAGATTTATAGCAAAAATTCAACGGATTTCATTTTTTTTATGTTTGGTCGTGATGATTATGTGAGAAAGATATTGTGAAAGTCCTATCAGACTATTATGCAGTTTAATCAAGCTGCTACATTCCCACACTCTCCTTATCTTTGCACGTGTCACACATTTTACCTTTCATGTTTGGCACAACAGAACCACAAATAATATGTTGATCACCAGGATTTAAATATTCTTAATGGAGAAATGCAGCTCTTCCCCTTTATCTTCAAAGTTTATTTTCACATTTTGGTGTTAACAAAGATTATGATAGCAGAAAAAAAAGATTTTTCAAGATGAAATTAAAGACAATATATTGAACATTTCATTGTTTAAGATGTAAGTTACAAAATAATGAATCTAATCAAGTGAATCTAATTCATCCAAAAGTGCCAAGTGGTTGTCTTTGTTGGGATGACACCCCAAAAACTTTATATCTCCAGGTTTACCAGATGTACACCTTTCTAGAAAATTGAGTTTTTTATCTTTAGTCTGTAGTAAGCCAATGCAAGTTTAAGCGTCTGTGGATTGTTTTGGTAGCATAAATGCACACAGATAAAGAATGTGGCACGTGCCACTTCGCAATGAAATTTACATTTCAAAGTACACAGTTAAAAGGGACAGCTGTTTTGGCAAACCCAAATTACCATTAAAAGATGTCAGTGCATTGACTGTGTGCAAGTCTCATTTCCCATGTGAAAAATGACCTCACTTTAGCTTAACTGTCAGATAGAGAGGTGATAGCAACATATCTTGCCTTTGATTTTCACCTGCAAATGTCTGTCTCTATTGTTCCTATGTGGTATTATCTTTGATTTGTGGCATGTATTCACCTGCACAATACTAGTGCTCTCCACTTGATTGACACTAGGCTACATTTCAGATAATTACTTACATCATAAGGTTGGTTGTATGATTATTTAGACATTCTATATTTTCATTGCATTTTGTATTTGCCATCCAGTTCAAACTTTTTTCAGTCAAAAAAATGGCTAATCCATTTGATTTCTTGAGGATTTGAAATTTTGGTACCTTTTTTCTCTCCTGGATTTTGATTCAATTATTGCTCTTCTATTATAACTTAGTACATTTGACAAGGATGCTGTCTGGTCTTATTTTAGTTATGCAGAAGTTGCCACATGCACATGTGTCCTGATTAAATGTTTACTTCAATGTTTCAGTAAATAGCTCCAGTTTGTAATAATACTGTAACATACTGTATTCATAGGGGTGTCAGAGATGACCACTTTTACTTATTTAAACTGCATAATTAAAAACGTAATTTGCAGTTAATCACAACAGGTGTCATGAATACACTACACTAAATATACGCATGTAAACAATGACATGAGACTCAAATCATCGATATGTTATCAGCATTTTAGGGTTCCTCACACATTCCTCATTTCCTCTCACAGATAATTACTTGTTTTTATTGATATGATATATTACTGGCATTTTGTTTCCTTGTGTTAATTTAGAATTTTTACCATAAACTATGAAGTTGGTCTATAATGGTGAGATTTTTAAAAAATTGATTCAAAAATAGATGAGAGGCATGCCCCTCTTAGCAATTGTTTGCCTTAAATTTCTCCTTAGTTACATCCGCATTTCCTCCTCTTTCACTTTTAACAGCCAACAGTTATTTCCTTTCATGGGTCATAAATGACATTTTACAGTTTCATCACATCCCTGGCATTCATACATTTTTCCCTTTCTTACCTGTAAACTTGAAAGCATGCCAAGAGAGAAAAGGGCTCTCTATGCTTCCTACACCTGTGGCATAGGAATGAACTTATAGATAAGCTTAAGGCCTGGAGTTTTTTAAACTGCATGCAAATATTCACCCCCAGCCTATTGACCTCTCCTGCAGTATCTTGTTGTTGTAGTTTGAAAATGCCTGAACCCTGACTGAGACTTTGTTAATTTGTGATGATGTGCCTAAGCCACTTGTGTTTCTCGAGGCTTTGGTGCCACTGAAGTAGTGAAAATTTGGGAGAAGAAGTCGACATTAATGGGCTTTATTGACAAGATGTGCTATCTGGTGCCAGTAACATTAAGTAGACCAAAAACTTTCTGATTTGGAGCTCTAGCTGGTACATGTTAAGGTTTTTAGGCAATTTTGGCTCTAGGTTTGAATAGCAATAGATGTATTTATTTGAAGGAGAACAAAGTTTAATAATATGTTAATTTGTATAGATGTTTACTACTGTATGTTTATATTAGGTTATCATTAATAGTCCTATAATAGAAAACCCCTCCAGGTATTTTTTGTTTCTTTTCTTCATTTTTCATTTGTTTTTTCTTTTTTCAAATTTTAAACGCACCTATATAAACTTACAAATAGCAAAAACAAATCACCATTTCTAATCTGTTTTCATATGAATGCATGTTATTTAACAAATTGCTCATGTGCTATAAATTTTTTAGCATACACAGACAATAAGCCTTTTAACCACACTAAAATGCAGAATCTCAGCAGATGTGACATCGTGTTGGGTTGAACTCTTGTCATCTGCTACTTACGCCTTTAGCTTGCCACATGTTGACATTTTTTCCAACTTTATTCTTTGTTGTCAAGGTTGCCAACTTTACACTCCCCAAACTACATAGGTCTGCAAAACCCCAAAACAACAGGAATTGATCCTAGAAAATGCATTGCAAACCCAGTGTTTTTGTGCAAATAGATAACTCATGTAAACTCAGTGAATCTCTTACCTGGGGTTTGCCATAATTCCACAGCAATGATATGGTGGCTTCTGGAAAAGTCTTTAATTTGATGAAAATGGTCACAGTCCCAAAGGGCCATATGACCATCAGCATGCAGAGTCCTCTCTCTGAAAGTCAGCAGACGAACAATACCTTGTTTACCCATCAGAAATTTGGCAATAACATCAGGCCCACCACTGTGGAGCCTCAGAATGACAGGACTCTCATATTTTGCCGCTAGGAATGGTCCACTAGCTATGGCTCTGAATATGTAACGATGATTGTCTTTTCCACGTATAGTTTCATTTTTTTGCACAGTGTAAGTGGGAAGATGGTTGACAACTGCATGTCTTCCTCCTATGGTATTGAGTGTATATGAGAGTCTCAGGCTGCTTGTGTTGTGTCTCCAGTGTTTAGTTTGTCTTCCTATTAAGGTGTAGAGTTCTGTGTCACTGTACTTCCCACCATAATGTCTGTAGCCTGGATAGTGAGCCTTTAGGTCTTCAAACTTTGGCAGTTGGAGCTTTTACAAAAAATAAAAAAAATTAAAGATTTTTGCAATTAGCTGTTGAAGAAGTGAACATAAAAGGAACTTTTGGTACAGTTTCCTGAAACAAAGTTATTTCATATTTTAATTTGATTTAATTGTAGAAATGCTTATAATTTGCTGAATCTATGAGTTTGTTTGATAAATCTCTTTGTTAGATAACATAAGAAGTGTAATTACATTAAATGCCTTTAAGGCTTCAAGGTGCCATAAGTCTTTTCTTACATGGTTAAACATAAATACTTACAGAATTTGCCATTGCTATAAAAACACTCCAAAAAGGAACAATCCATGTAAGTTTCCACCCCATCCTTTTTCCTTTTTTCTCCAGTTTTGTATTTTTAAGTTCTTCTTCAGTTCATGAATATCTGCTTACATATGTTTAGAAAACTTCATTAACTGAGAGTTTTATCTGTCCTCTGTGCTTCAACCATAAAGTGTTGTTCTATTGGCTGTCCCCTCCCTCTGTCACCTCTTTCTCTGCCTCTCACTCTATTTATGGAGATTGTCAGCTGCCTGCTGCCTTTCTGCCACGTGCCAGGGCTTTAAGCCTGAGTCGCTCAGGTAAAATAATGGCACGCTCCAGCAGATTAACTACAATTAAACTCAGTTGTGTTGTGTTGCTGGGTTGTAAACTTGGCCTCATGTAAGCCACTGACTGGTGTATGACTTGTGCATCTGTTGGCTTTCTGTGTCTGGTTGGCACGCGTGTGTGTAAATGAAATAGTAGGCCAGTCTGCTGTGGGGGTAGCATCAGATGTTAGAGATAAGATATTTGCATGGGAATTTTGTAATGTCATGAGAGAATATGATTGTTTTTGATAGAAATTATTTGGATTAGATATAAATCAAAAGTATGCTGGGGTCAGTTTAGATGGGACAAAAAAAAAAAGAAATTTAGGCATGCATTTCTTTATCCTATAATAGACAAAATGTTGAAATACAGATAGATAGGGGTATCAGAGATGTGTTCACATGACTAAGGGTCATTTATGTGTTATCTCTAACTATGCTATATTTATGCATCATTATTTCATTCACTTTACTTTATGATTAAAGACATTTAGCCAGATGAATAAAGCAATTAACACCTCTCCTCCTTTAATTTGAATGGACTCTTCTCAGGTATGGGCAGTTTAGGTATTTTTGCGATTCTCAACATCTCTGAAGATATAAGTGAGGAAGAGAGAAATGTTGACATTTACCAAGTGAAATGTAACAGATAACTAGAGCTGATATTTTTTGCAATTGATGAGCACCTTTGCCTCTCTGCTCTGTATGAATCTGTTGGTTAGCCCTTGTAGAATGGCATTTTGTAGGACCCCCAAGTTTGTATTAGTGCATATAAGTGGAGCTCATTATTTTTGGTTACATATCCAAGTATTTGCATTTATGCAGACAAAACAGATGCCATTTGTTTGAGAAATTTGATAATAAGTTTTTAATGCAAAGACAAAACATGCCATTTTCATTACAGCAAGCAGGATGTAACAATTTTGCAAATGTTTTTCAATTTTCTGAACATATTGTTGTCTTAATTATTCAGAAATCCTTTATGCATTTCAATTTGAAAAGTTCAATTCTTAGAAAAGAATTCTGCTGTCTTTTTTTTTTCTTTATGTTTGATTTTTTAGAAAATAATTGGAAATTGATATTTTCTTTATCTGCTTTTCTTTCTGAAAAATAAAAAATAATAATAATAAAAGATGTTTCCTTACTACTATCACAACTGTATTATTATAAAATTAATGGGTCAGATTGACGTCTCCGACCACGCTCTTTAATTATAATTTAATCATAAGTCATCCTCCTACCTGTAATTTAGTTCATTGTTAATTGTTCTTTGTTCAAATAGGCTATATAACTTGTATGTATTCTCTGAAAGGGAAGACTGGACTTGGCTACACCAGACAGCTGAACAAGCTGACTGGAGGTCCCAGCTCTTGACCAGGAATAAACCTGAAGTACACACTAAGTTGTGTTGATTTATTCTGGGACCTATGTCGCGGTGGATCCGATCCCCAAACCCGTCGTGATAACTGTTGGAGAACCTTAGGCATTTTAACTTCCCCAGTACCTCTCGCAACGAAGATGGAAAGACTTGGGAGACAAAATATCTTACCAGCAGATATTTTTAATATTCTACTGGAAGTTGACCAAGTACCATCTATGTACAATGTGAGTAAGGTGAATGAAGAACTGTCTATTACTTTAAAGTAGAAAACCATTCCACAGATACCAAAATGAGGACCAGCGAGGTGAACACCCTATCGACAATGAAAGTAGCGAAGAAACATTTTGGAGAACAAAATTTAGAAAACCACTGCCACTGGGAGAAACAATTTGGAAAGAACTATTGTGAACTGAACTGCCTGCCAAAAGAAGAACTGAACAGACTTAGTGATGTCATAATACAACAAGGCATCTTTCTCATGAATCCGACTTCAAGACATAAGAAAGAGAAAACAGTTGATGATATCATAGAACTCTGTGCTAAGGAATCAAGGGACATTCCTAGAAGATACGCTAAAACTTTGGATGAACATGAACTGCTGGAAAGAAAAACCCATAAATTAAACAAAGGAAAAAGTCTTGGACAAAGAGTATATAATAGAAATTCTGGATTTAAAGGGATGGACAGAAGGCATTTCTATGAAAAGTAAAAAACAAAAAGAAAAATTTTATTGATGTAAGTTCTTGTCTTTACCTGGTGTGGTCTCTCTTTTCTTAAATCTTTTCTTTAGTACCAGTATTCTTCCTAGCCGGTTCTAGTTGAGAAACTGGTCAAGACTTTATTTCTCCTTTTCTCTACCTTCAGAGCCACACAGGTGAGAGCAGGGACATACTTAGCTAATCATTGTAATAACTTCTTACTCGTACATGTATTTGTATTTTTAATCATATTGTTTGTTTATGCTCAACTTTTGCACTAAAATTTTGGTATGTTTTGTATCTGTGTAACTTTAACTTGTTTTAGATGGATTAGTCCAAGAACTTATGTAATAATGTTATGAAAATTAACTTACACTGTTCCATGAATATGACTGCTGTTATCTGCAACATGGTTTAGTGTGACATATTTTTTTGAAAGGATAAGTAGATATGTTGGTGCTGAAGTAGTGTTTGTTGACAGGCGAATGTAAGGGCACATGTAGTATACCGATAGAAGGGGCAATGCAGAAAGAGGTTTAAGTCTGCAAGGCTACAATGTTGCTGCCTGCAACTGATCCTATAGGGAGACAGACACATTTTAATTTCATGTTGTAAGAGAAATATGTAATGCAGCACATGTAGTGAGTAAAGTGTAACATTTGCATATGTAATTTTTGTTGCATTAAGTTCAGACTAAGTTCTACAAACTATGTTTGAGTACATGATACTGAATAAGATATATCATTTAAATATTGTTTAATTTTAAAATTTGAGGCACAAATTTTGCCAACCAAGGGAGATCTATCACAACTGTATTATTATAAAATTAATGGGTCAGATGTATCATTTAACTTCAAAGGAGATGGTCAGACAGTGGTCTCTCTGTTAGTATAGCCAGACGTCTCCGACCACGCTCTTTAATTATAATTTAATCATAAGTCATCCTCCTACCTGTAATTTAGTTCATTGTTAATTGTTCTTTGTTCAAATAGGCTATATAACTTGTATGTATTCTCTGAAAGGGAAGACTGGACTTGGCTACACCAGACAGCTGAACAAGCTGACTGGAGGTCCCAGCTCTTGACCAGGAATAAACCTGAAGTACACACTAAGTTGTGTTGATTTATTCTGGGACCTATGTCGCGGTGGATCCGATCCCCAAACCCGTCGTGATACTACCTGTACAGGAATTAGTGAACACGATGGGAAGGAAATTGCCCACTGTCACTGCATAGGTTCATTTATGTGTAAGAAAGTAAAGAAATTAATAAGATGAGAAAATAATAAGTTTTGCCTGCCTCCCTGCTGTTTAAACAAAATAATATGATTAAGCAGTGTGCCCAAGAAATGAGCAGGGACCAACACAAAAGTCTGGACCATTGAGGTGTGGGGCCTTGCCATATGGTCATCTTATCCAACAGCGAATGAGTATGGTGTATTGACTGACACTGAGAGCCAATCAGTGCAGTTTAAAGCACTGTTGAACCAACACCATTGTTTGTGTGCTTTGTTCCTGAGATTGTTTGATTTAGCAGTTCTGTCGACAACCTTCCAATCTCGGAAGTGATTAGCCTTTGTTAGACTTGATTACACAGGGGGGATTGCAAACTTTCCTATACTACAGAATGATGAGAATTTATCAGTGTGCTTATGTATTTATTTATATATACATGATACAGATGTTTGACAGACCAGAGGATTTTCATAATCTATTTTATTTACAGGTTAATTAGCTATATTCTTAATTCTAAGATATTAATTAAGCCTAACAAAGATGAATTATCAAAAATATTCTGCCTGGCCATATGTTATGTGATCACTTTAGGCTTTGTGAAGACTTGTGAAAACACCGAGCTCGTGTTAACAAAGAAATTAAGGTGTATAGAACTTCACATAAGCAAACAGCGGAGCGTGCCATGTAATGCCATAAAGGTATACATTATGAACAGAGAGCCTAGTTCTTTTATCCCTTTGCTTCTTCACTAGATTGATGCGAAGTCATAAATGCCATTTAACAAAGCAATAGCCAAAATGTGAAGAGGAATTTTTTTAGCTGTTAATCACATTGAAGAAAATCCAAATGGAGAAAGGAGAATAATGAAAGGAAGTGGCTTAGAAATAATCAAGTTTAGGGAGTGCATAAAGGCTTAAAATAGATAGAAATAGATTTCAGAATATATTTAGGCCTTTATCATACAATATCTTGCCTTGCCCAGAACCTTGCCCAGTTGGACTTTACTTTTGAAGTTTGTATAGTATGACATGTGGAGGGAACATAACTGAACATCAAAGTTCCACCACTTGATTACAGCTGGAGCTAGATTCACTTCATGTGTTTAGTTTAGCATTGTCTTCCGGTAAGCAGATGTTCCAAAGGCTCCCGCCAAAACTGTCCTGATTAATTTGATATGTAAATCTCTAGTTAAACGTTCATAGGCAGCTGATGATGGAAGGTCTTTTACATACATGAGTTATTTTTGGTCCTAGTAATTTATCTTTTATCCTTTATGTAATAATCTTTATTGAGCACTAAAATGCATACATATTACATTTTACAGGCTCTCTACACTAGTCATAACAATCTTAGCAACATTTATCATATTAGGTTTTCTTTTGATTGTCATATTGTTCATATCTTAAGGATGAAAGATTAAATTTTGTAAATGAATGCTGTTCTTTGTTTTATATAATCAGTGGCTATCTTAAAATAACAATCAGCTGTTAATAAGTTTTATTATTATTATTATAATCTGCTACGATTATATCCTAGTGAATATTAGACAGCTGATAAAATAGTCTAGTAAACTGCTGTTTGTAGCTTTTTTATTTGTTACTTAAAGTTACATATGTCACTAAACTGCCCAAATGCCATCACTTAAGGCCCAGTCACAATGTCGGCGATCTGTCGGGGATTAGTTTTGGCCAGGGGTCGTCGTAGAAAATAAAGAATCCTTGAACAATCCTAGCAATAATCCTAATAAAAGTGGAGCAGTCACATTGTCTGAGATTTTTTCAAGGATTTTGACCCGGTATTGTCGAAAAATCGTGGGATTAGCCTCCGATCGCCTCCGATTGCATCGGAGGCGATCGGAGACGATATCTGCGAGCGTCTTTTCTTGTAATTTTTTTCCCCCTGGGTATATGTGTATATATCTTGCGACTAGTCTCAGATTATTCGGACGATTAATCGGAGGGCATCGTAGGTCATCGGAGATTGTGTCTGGGATGCCCAAAATGGGTGAAAAATCTTGCGAGCAATCTTAACATTTTAAGTTCAAAGTTGGGGACCGCGACGGGTGTGGAGATGTCTAAAAAATCTGCGACAACCCGCAGGTGTCCGGAGAGTGCCTCTGACGGGTGCAAAATCGTGAGATCTGTCTCAAGATTTTGTTCAAATTTCCCGGGTTTTACCCATCCCCGACGCATCGCAACTGATTTGTGACTGGGCCTTTAGTTTCAAATAGTACAACTTAAAGAAATACCAAAAGGTGTTGTCCCATATTCATAACTATATTTGAACACATCTTTTCTGCTTTCTTGCTGTGCTATATATAACTCTCAGTTTTTCCTTCAAGTCTTATTTAAATATTTCTGTTATTTGCACATGCAGCAGTTACATGTCATACATAACTATGTCATTTGGCGCACTTTATGAACCAAAAGAACAGATTAAAAGGTCAAGTTTTAAGACCAGCAATTTGAAAAAGGTGCATTTTAAAGCTGATTTTTGGTTGATTGAGGGATTAATTTGAGTTGATTACCAAATGCATTCTGAGATGCAAAATCACTGTTGGTGAGAAAGTTATAAAACAAATTTACAAATTGAAATATCTGCTGTCATCAGATCACATCTCCAACAAATGACAAAAAGATTCTCTTGTACATCAAGATTTGCCTATGACCATAGAAAAACTTCCACTGTACAGATTGGATAGGACATGGACAATAAATGGATGAATGAAGAAAAAATGTGAAGCAAAAGTAATGTACTTTTAAGGAAAATGCTCAACATGCCATAGAAAGCAAAGAAAACAAAGGGATAAGTTATAATTACAAACTAATATCAATATGCAAAGGAAAAGCAAGTTCATTGTTTTTATCAAATGAAAAAAATTACTGGAGAATTTTGTGATAACATAAAAATTGAATATGAAAAAAATCATAAGACAGGGAGAAAATATTGGACAGCCTCTCAGAATGGACATACTTAAAAAGGCCTGTAAAGCTGCTATATACTGAGTTGGCTTGACATAAAAAATGATGGAGAACCACAATGACCTACACCAGTCATCATAGCGCTTGATGATATTGTATTTTATATTTATGTTGGTGACTCAAATGAATAGTAATGTTAGGGTTTTTCATTTATTGTATTTATCGAAATCTGATAATGCATGCTTTTTGTATCAGTGCAACATAATTATTGATAAAAAAAGGTTTTTTAGTAGATTTTATTTGACCAAGTGTAAATTCTACAACCGTGAATATCCCAGAATAAATTTTGAAAATATAAAACATTCCTATTCTTTTCAAATTCTGGTTTTTCTTGACTACAATGAGATACTAGGAGAGTTGGTGCCATCTGTGCTAAAGTTTGGTACTTAGGCCACCCCATCCCCAGCCGCTAACAATGGCTGCCAGGGATCTTTTTTTCCCACACTGATAATGTTACTTCACCACAGATTATATTCAGTGTAATTCATGGCCTAGGATAAAATTCATTGATTTGCTGTAATTGAGTTTGAAAAGGCCTAGTAGTCAGTTGCTGTTCTTCTGATATGCATACAAATGTTGGATATAATTAATGACTCCGTTTCACCTGGTCTTGGATAAAGAACAATGTGTGATGTGGTGGGAATAGTAAGCTTTTTGAATAATCTACTGAAAATGATTAATAATCATGAGAAAAATTAAGCCTGAGGATCTTGTATTTCCCAGAATCTAACATCTGATTTTTTTATTTTTATACTGTGCTTGTTCTCTGAGGAAATATTTCCTGTATAAAAGTGTCCATTTCATTCAAAAACTTGCTTCTCAGTATATTATCCATTTGTAATTTTTTGTAATTTGCTTTGAGATTGGACATTAAAGTTATTTGGTAAGAGTAGTTCATACACAGAGTAGTAAAAAGAAGCAGCTAGATGTTATGTTTTCATTCTAATACGTTTTGCAGTATTTAGTTAGATAATTGAAAATGCCATCAAAAATAAAACTTGTTATTGATTTTTTTAAAATTTATTTTTATTTTAAAGCTGAGAATATTTTTCCATCCTTGATGAGAGCAGCATAAAACATTATCTTAAAAGCAGTTCTTTTGGTACTTAGTTGAGAAAATTTGCACTTCAAAATTGAAAACACCATCTGCAGCCTGAAATTCTACCAGCCAGCTGCATTGCACTACTTTTATAGGCAGCTGTTCTTTTTATGAGGCAGTATTCATAAGTATTATGATAGTAAATATCGGACTACCATAATTTTATCACTAAAGTGTACCCACTATAATTATTAAATTGTGGTAAGCTATAGTTTTTTATGAAAATACACATTTGGATGTGTCATCTTTGGGTTCCAATTTTAAGATTATCCGGAGAGGTACAGTGTGTAACCTGACCCTCACAACTGTGCTACTACATGGATTATGTTGTTGTATGATAATCAGGTTTCACTGTTCAGTTTTCATTACTCCAAGTCAGTTGAAATCTGCATTAGTTTTTTAAAATCTTTACTAGAATTCTCAATTATTGAATATGTAAAGAAACAATAAAATTGAAGATTTACAACTAGTATTGATTGAGGGGTGTTATTATTAGCATTTTTATTTTAGAAAAATAATTACAAGAAATAAACAAGAAAAATCCAGTTTGTTTCAGTCCTTTGTACTTTTGTAAGGTTTAATTTTAACATTATAATGTTTTTCTTTGTCATGTGAAATTGACCAGATTAATAGAAAAATCATAGACACATGCCACAAAGAAAATAATAAGCGCAGTTGTCATGGGCAGTTAATCACAGTTGATGGCAAGGCAGAAACTGAACATGTTTAAGTGGTCAATTATGTTAAATCATCCATAAAAATGCTATCATCTGTGATATGTCATAATGAACACGTTGTTTGCCCAGGGAGATAGTCCCAATGGTTTAACCTGCCAATCATTAGAGCTGTGTGCACCTGCCAGGTCTCACAAGATGAATGGGAACACTGGTTAATGCATCAAGTGGCTGCCCCCTAATTTTCCCACTGGATTCAAAATTGCTTAGTTTGTTGTAAATGAAAAAAAAACTTTTTTTAAGTAAAATATTTATATTTCACAATGAATTTTAATAAAATTAAATAATTGTGTACTAGTGACAGTGCTCCAAAATCCATGTGTGTGAAGAAAAAAAGTAAACAATGTTGCTTTGAAAATTATTATCCTGTACAAAAAATAAGATTACAGATTTTTACTTTCTGGTGGATGGAATAGGAGGTGCCCTTTGATATCTAAGCAAATAACTGTTGATTTTGCACTTTACCTATGATTTTGCCCCATAGGGATTTGGAACACAAATATTATTTTTGCTTTAATATTGTTCTTCTCTCTTTTAGTTGTGATACCCATAAAATACTAGATGTTGCCTTCTACAATCAAGAAAAACTGTCTGTACTACTGCTAGAGGACCAGCTGGATGGGTTGCCTGTGTTGGCACAAGTTTCAATTTCCAACATAGAAGATGACCAGTTTAATCTGGTGCCAAATGGACAAGAGGATTGTTTCACACAGAGAGATATGTAAGTGGAATTCCGGAGCCCTTGGTAGCCAAAAAAACATCCAGTCATTTTCAGTTGTGTCCATTTTTTCATTAATTGCATTCAATGAAAAGTATGTTATTTTCACACAATTTCTCAAATGATTTGAAAAATATATATGGATGTTATGAGAAATTACTTATTTGCATAGAAATAGGTGATAACTAATACACCTTACTTTTGTATTTTAGTCCATTCACCATGTCTACAGTTTTGAAAACAAAACACTCATTACAAAATATTTTAATTAATTTCTTTGGCAGTGTAAGGTAAAATGACAATAGCTACAAAAGTTTTAGCACATTGAATTGTTTCTCTATCAGACATTGTATTGATGCTGGACCCCCCATGGAGCCTATGTACTACAGAAGACTGGAGAACATGAAGGCATACTCTTTTGCTGTTAGTGGCACCAGACATGTTGCCTGTGTGGTAAGTTTATACATCCTGGATAGCATAATTATTTACCAAAGGCAGTGCACATTCATTAACTTTGAATAAAAAATTAAAATCTGAGATTTTATTGAAATTGTAGGCATTTCCTTTTTTTATTGTCTTAAAAAACAAGATGTATACATCTGTTGCAGATCCTTGATAAATTACACCTTTTTAACTATTGTAACAATCATCAGATCAAAAGAGGGTCATTATCTTCATAATATTTTTTAGTTATTTTCCTCACGTCGACGTGTCCGCCTGTTTTTGATGGATGCTGAAGATGATGAAGACGAGGATGATACAGAGCTGAGCATTCAAAGCACACAGGACATAAGTACTATTAGCAGAGACACTACGGAGGAAGATGACAAAGAAAATACTGACACATCTGGAATGGACGGTTGAGATCATTACTATATATATATATATATATATATATATATATATATATATATATATATATATATATCAGTATTCAGAGCACACAAGTCATTAGTACTGTGGACTGAGATGCTATGGGGAAGATGACAAGAAAAATGCTGACACATCTGGAGTGAAGGGATGATACTGGGTTATGACAGCTGGTTAGATATTGCGTCATTCAGTCATTCTTATGACTAATTTGCAGTGGCATTTATTTTTTTCTTTTTGAATCAATTTGAATTGATATCAACATCTTTATGGAACTTGGACTTTTCTCAATACTTTTACATCTTTACTGCTGTTATTTGGATGTCATGTATAAAATTTGTCAGGCAAGAATGAAGTAACATTGGTATCAGCAAGTATTGAGAAGGCAGCAGACATGTTTAAAAATTATTAAAAAACATCAGTTTTAACTAAAACAATAAATGCACAAAATATTTATTCCATGTAAGTTCTGAAAGTTCTCTATTGGAAATATAATTTTCAAACGTTTTACAACAACAGAGAAAAGTTCCTGAGCAAGAAGACAAGAAGATATTGGCTAAGAAAATTCATATATAGTCAATGTTAACAAGTAAAAGATGATTGTAAAACTGGAGTTGCAACTGGCCTTGGAGGTAGAAAAAGACTTTTTAAATTCTCTGATGTAGATCTGATACTCTGCAGCAAGTGTATCAGATGGAGTTTGTCCCTCTACATGTTTAACAAATATAGGTGGGTTTTCCCAATCAAACAAAGGGATAGCTACTCCTAAAACTCCACCATTAAATTTTCTTATAAATTCTATATATGATAAATGTCTGTACACAGGTTCCACTCCATATATGGTCTTTAAAACTCCTGTTGGTTCCATAAGAAACCTATCAACAATTTCACTTGGGCAAATATATGAAGATACATTGTCATAGGTTAATCGAAGTAATGTTTTCTCAGGGGTGTATGAGATGTTAATAATTCCCAATCCTGAATGAACATAAACTCCTGTGAAAGGTTTGCTTTGTTCAAACAACAGTTGGCTGCTTTGTAGGCTTTGTCGTTTCCACTCATGCTGTTGGAGACTTGATTGCTTCTGTTGAGATTGCAACACAATGCACGCTTCACGCTCATTAATCTGTTTAGGAAATCCCAGCACAGCGTCTGCCAGCAGGCTATGTAATAACTTGTGTGCCACTTCGCTCACACCACTCCCTGCAGGTCCATTGCTATTGGTGAAAATACCTAATTTGTATTGAGGCAGGATGGTTAATTTTGAAGTGTAGCCAAAAAGGTCTCCTGAGTGTGTCAATACGGGATCGCCTGCGAGGAAAAATGTGTTAGATGTGAACTTTCACTATTACCTCGTATTATTTTGCAATGACAAAACAGTTGTTGTTCTTCTTACTCTGTTCTTAAGTTAACGTTTATACTTTTAATACATAGTGACAAAACGATTTGGCTTTTCGAGCTTTTGAATAGGGTGTAAATTACTTGTTTATTTATAGTCTTTGCTTAGTGTACCAATTATGCTCATAAAGTAGACGTCGCACGACAACTAACCTCTATAATTTCCCGTTCCCCAGCCAAGTCCGTAACCGTCTTCCACCATTTGTGTGAATTGATCGTTTTGCCTCACTTTCGGCAACAGTTGCTGACTTATCTGCTGCGTGTGTGTATCTTGCAGCAATTCGGAGTTAATCAGCTGATGGTCATCAAGGCTTTTGCCTGCACTGACGTGAAATTTCAGCCATTTTACCATGTCGGCTGCTGTAGAGCATATAGAGTCGGCACCATCAAGGCTAAATTTTCTAAAACGAAGAAATTATATTAAACTAATACAAACTTCCACCGATGTTTAACGTTATTCTGCAGTAATTCGCGAATTTTAATTCAAAACAAGAATTAGCCTAGGTACGTGTTTGAAAATGTCCCTAAGTCGTATTTTTATGTCAAGTAGGTGCTATAAGGCCACTTATTTATTTACCACTTTATACCTTAAAACTATCAAATCCTTAAATCCTAATGTCAATATTTCCTTCTGAACTGTGACTAATGGGTCGAGCAATGATTTGTGAGAGAAAATTCGTTAGAAAAATTTTTTTTTCTCGAGGAAAATTAGATTTGGTGTGAAAATACTGCATACAATGCGTTTGATCTTAATTCTTTTTTTAAACATTCTTCGTAGCGTTGTTTCGTGTTCGTGTTAACTCTACGAAAAATAAGCCAATGAATTGTATGCCTACTATAATAAATATGACAATGAATTGACACATTTCAATGAATCAGTGCCCTATCCTGAACCATTAAAGCTACCCTTTTTAACACAGTAAGTTCAAATAATTATAATCAGCTATTTATTTACCTATGTAGAAGTGGGTCCACATTTGCCACTGTTTCTGTCGTCCTAATCAAAGCATGTACAAATCTTACTGAATTTGTATGAAGCTTACTGGTGAAGGTCGTTGACGACATTTTAAGTGGATCAAAGATACGCTGCTGCAAAAGTTCTTCCCAAGGTTTCCCTCCAAGTTTCTCAGAGACGCGGGCTGCTAAGAAGTACATCCAGTTGTTGTAAATAAACCTATGCCGCAGCGGCGCAGAGGGGTGGAGGAATTTTAAACGCCTGAAGTAGACCATGATTTGTTACGTTACACAATAAAATTACTCATTGAAAAAGTACACAATCTTAACAATAGCATGAGAAAATTTGAGACTATGATAAATTTATCCAGAAAATGGCTTGGGTGAAAAAAAAAACTGGTGCAGTTGATGAGCAAGTTATGTCCTGTCTTATCATTTCGCCAATCTCATGAAATTCACATGGAACAGAGGCGACGCTAAAGTAGACCTCTGAGGCTGACATCGATATTTCTTCCTAACATCCTTTTCAACTCAATTTTTATTGTTGATTTGCGTAGTACGTTAGTGGATACATGATCTATTTGCATTTCACACGACTGTCACACACTCGTTTTGTAATGTGCCACACTTTACTTGATTTATGCCACGTTACGTGGATATTGTCACTTTTACAGTTTTCACGACCCACTTCAATATCTATAAGACATAAAATTGAGATGTTAATATAGATAGAGCACACTGGTTTTAAATAGAAATGCTTTAAACTAACTTGTAAAATTCTTTCCTAAAAGATGTAGAGAAACGGGCAAGGTCAAAGCGTGGTAAACCCATGCGGTGTGCGAGTAGGTCACGAAGTGACGCAGTCTCTGAGCTGTTGACGTCCTCTAAAGAAAAGTGGTGACCGAGGATGGCTCGAATAGGAGTGTCCCATGTAACGCTGAAGACAAAAATAGATGAAAATAAAATAAACATGGTATCCTAATGGTCACTCTGCATTTGTTCTAAATTTTTTATCAGAAACAGCAATTTAAACAATGGACAAAATTTTGTCCATCATTAAACAGACCTGCTGTTATAACAACTTATATTGTATTTTCATTCGCTACCACTGCAAATAAACAGTAAGATCGTTTTTTAGAAGCCGTGCAATACAGCAAAATTAATAGAATTTGGCAAAATTTCTTTCTTTTTTTTTTTTTTTTTTTTGATTTATAACGTCTTTTAAGGAAAATAGGTCAGGTCATTGTCAGTTTATACAAAATGACTGTACCGGAGTTTTGTATTATATAAATGGCATAAGTTTGCTATAAATCGTTGGTAAATCAGGAAACACCTGGAATCGATATCTTTTGAAGTAAATGTAAAGGGAAACCGAAGGGAACGTAATTTGTGCATTCAGGAACAATACAGGTGATCGATACAAGTTTGTATTTGATAGTTGGAAGTTGGCACATAACGGTGCTAAAAGACCGCTGCATTCGCAAACTATTAAATAATCTACATGTAACACCACCTACTGCATGTCTCCTCTTTCATTTTTTTTTTTTTTTTTCAAAGTACAAAGCAGTTACTCACTTTTTAGCGTTATCTCCCAACAAGCTTGCGATAAGAGTTGACGTAAATGCTTTAGTCAGAGATGCGATGCAAAACAAAGACTCTTCGTTCACAAACGTCTGCCGTTTCTCATCACCATACCCAAGTCCTTTTAATAATACTGTCGTGTTTCCTTTTACGACGGCAATGCTAAGTCCGGGTATATCTCCACATTTCATAAGTCGCCGTACTCTTTCTTCCAAGATAGATGTAAATCGTGTTACGTTTTTCTCTGAAAACCATTTCTGACAATCCACTGCCCTAGTAATGAAACATGAAATACATAAAACCCAAGAGAAAATGAACTGTGCTTTGAATTGTTTCATTTCTCTCTATGAACTGGTGAAAACAGAGCAAGTATGTATAAAGTGGGTTGTTCTATTTTTCGCGGTATGTCAAAAACATTTCCTGACTCGGAAGTTCCGTGCATTTGCCGAGAAAGTGGGTAGCACGCGGAAGTCGTCGAACCGCTGGTGCCACCGCAACTTTGTCACCGATAAATATTGATTAAGCATAGTTTCCGGCGGCTCGTGTGTTGGGGATAATAAACACCAAGAGGCTGTTTATCATATGCCTTTATTCACACTTGATTTATCATCCGGATGCGCGACGAAACAAAATTCGTACCACAACAAAAGGAGCATTTTAAATGAAAGTTCCACTGGGTTCACTGTAGATGTTTTAATCAAGCAGAGAGTGTTTAAGTATACAGTACACGTTGACTTCCAAGAAAATTTATCAAAAAATTTGGGAAAATTTTGTTATTTCTTTTAAAAGTGTTTTCGAAATATGCGATAGCGTGTTTTCAGTGTTTTGCGGAGAATCATTCTTGAATGAATGGACCCATGCCCCCTTCTCGACATACTGGATCTGCACGTACCTGTACATAAATTCCTCTAAATGTAGTTCCACCCTAGGCAAAAGCATATTTTTTTCGTGTATAAATTTCATTTTTCTGCATTCAAAATACAGCAATTATATTACGTGAAGACATACATACTATCAAATGTATAGTCCTATTGTTTCTCGTTAAAATGAATACTTATCATGACTTATAGGCACTATTTATTGTCTAAAACATAAAAACTCAAGTCACAGTAAATTTCCATCGCACCGTCTTTTAATAAGGGCAAATTTGTGAGACCGACGTAGATACAGCGGAAAATTTCACTCGCTTATGAGAAAAAAATCCACTTTTTTTTTTTACTTCTACCTACACACAATGGACAATAGAAGTGTCACCCCCTGAACCAGAGTAATCAAAGTAGGTAGATCTTGAGTAGTTATAATGCCTGGTCTACTTATAATGTGACTAATGAGTATAAAACCGCTGTACCATGGAATTGTATTGTTGGTATTTTTGTGAAATTTGATGTTAATAAAATGATACCAGGAGCATACCATTCCACAGTAATTTATCTCCCCCAAAGTATTGGTTCAGTAGGGGTGACACTGGCGACACTTCTATTGCCCACTGTGTGTATTTGGTTAGGCCTACTAGTATAACTGACGTTTCTTTAGAGAGACAACTTAAACTTTTCATGAATTTTATATGCCACCAAATATGCATTAGAAAAAAAGATGTTAATTTTTTTAGTATTTTTTTCGTGCTGGGGGCTCTACTAGTACTATCCCTCATTCAGACTGGATAACCGCATACTCCACTATAGGTCTATTAAGTAGCATTTTTGAAAAAAATGTTTAAAAAATCACACATTTTTTGATAAAATATCACAATTAAATGTAGTTAAATTTGAAAAAAAAAATCAATTTAAATGATTTCCCAAAAGCTTTTAAACTTTTAAAAGAATTGTCTAAACGGAATCGTTCACAAAATAAATACGAATTGTTTTAAATTTATTGTTCTTGTTAACAATGCCCTGCACTGTCATGTTGATTAAATTTTAGAAAACAAGCAGCTATATTTTCTGAATTAGAGTCTTTCAGTAGGCCTAAAACACACTCAATTAATTAGTCTCGTTATAATTAATTATTCAGTCGGAGAAATGTCTTCGTGGCCAACATTTGAATGTGCTAGAATACGGGCTTTTCAACCATTTCTCTTTGGTGCCAACGTGTACCATTAATAATGAACGATGGTAATTGGAAAATATCTGCCGGCACTGCAGTAAGAAAGACCTGTTAGTCATAACGCAACTGTGTTTACCGTAGCTTGTGTAGCCCTCTATCTAGTTCAAGGTCAAGGGTGCAACCTCCATTTGACAAGCTTCGAACAGGAGTGGGTTTGAGGTAAGACGGCTATAATCATCTGTTGGATTTTGGCAACAAAATGCATTTTCCCGGTGTTTAAGCAACTCTCAATAGGTACTTATATTCTGGAATTTCTTTTGATTAATCTAAATGTCTTGTATGTGAACAGGGCGCCACTGTTCGTAATGTAGCTTTAGCTGAGTTTAACTTTAAGGAGCCGTCTCCAACGAGCAAGCTGAAGAGTAGACAAATGTCTATTTTCCGTCTCCAACGAGCAAGCTGAAGAGTAGACAAATGTCTATTTTGTGGTCAGAATACAGTGCAGATACGTTAACTCTGAAAAACAATTAAACCAAATCTTTAAGCTGTAAAAAGATGTATGTGAAGTCTGACAGTATATTTTAGTGTTGTGATTACAACGTATGCCGGCCAGACGTGCCAAGTTTCGTTAGTTGTAACCCTAGAGCTGAGCAAAACTAAGTGGTGGATGTACATTTAACACCTGATTTGACCATAGTACCCTCTGTTATATATCTTGTAGAGGATGGTGTGTGTTACTATTTTGATATTAGGTTGAATCTTATAACCCTGTTGACTTCTATAGTGACACAATAGTAACAGAATTGTTGGTATTAATGTTGATTTGACTTGTGGCTTGATGATAAGGTATAATGTTATACAATAGGTGCTTATACTTGGCGTCAATCCTGCTTATACATGGCGTCAATCCCACTGGCCAAATTAGCCCAGGCGTTGAGGTATAATGTACTACCCTGTGAGAAACTGTGAGTTGGAATTGCACCAATATTTCATGGCACAACCAACTACTACTTGCTCATTTGTTACAGAATGGATCCTTGAAACACACACACACACACATATATATATATATATATATATATATATATATATATATATATATATATATATATATATCAATTGGATCAATCTACCCAGTATGATAGTTCATTGTAAATATATCTTAAGTCGTAATGAGTGACATATGCACTACATCCTATACTTTCACATGTATATAGTAGTGAACATTAATCAGTAGATATAAAATACTACTACGGAAAGACCCAGTATCTGCCTCAGGAATTAATGTCTTTATGAAACCCAAACAGCAATTACCATGTGTATATTTAAAAGTGGATCATTTTTGGGATCTCAGTACATATATAAAGAACTTTGGTTATTGATCCTTCCCACCTGTGTATCTGAGTTAATCTGACATACTAAGATAACTCTTCTTATCCTTTGCATAGAGGAGGATAGATGAGAATACATTGACAAACTTTCAAGTTTGCCAGCAGTATCAAACTCAAAATATGTAGCACTATTGAGATTGGTGTGTCACCCCAAGTAAAGAGAATCATTAATTTAGTAAAAATATGTAATCTTTAGAATATTTTAACATGTTGGTGCTTTTATAATGTGTTGATCTTATTTCTGAGCCAATAATCTGGAAGAGGGGAGCTTGGCTTTTGAAATTTATTTAATTCAAAACAGTTCTTCTCTGCCAAGAGCATTAAAAAGGCTAATGCAGCACTTTTTTTCTTTTTTTGGCACAGTTATTCATTAAAAGATTACTTAGACCTCTTTGGTCCTAAATTGAGCTTAAAGATGCTGATAGATGTCTAAAATAATGATAGATTCACTTACTGGTAACCAGTTTCCAATATGTTAGAGCTTATATGATAATTGTAGCTCCATATTTCAACTTTTTTGATGGGAATCAAAATGAATATGGGGCATTCCGTGGTATTCGTTTTGCATTACGGACGGAATTTTGACACTTTAAAAATAAATTCAACAAGAACTATAATACATACATTGTTCACATTTGGCAGGAATATTGATAAGTGCAAGCCTAAACTTGTGACCAAAAAACTTGAAATAACATCTATTAGTTTTTGAGAAATATTGGTTATTGATCACCATTACGGACGGAAAAAAATGGACAAGCATTTTTATTAATCAACTTCAACTTCAAAACTCTGCTCTGTTTGTGGCTTTTTAAAGATAAAACTGCTTTGACATGACAATTTCAGTATTCTAGTTACTAGAAATGTAAAAGGTTATTTAAATTTTTTTTTTGTTAGGAAATTTTTGAAGTGTATATATCATTGTAGAACAGCCTGTGGGCGCAGAGTGCAATCCCAGCTTATGAAAACATCAAGACCGTAATCAGTAATATATTTGGAAACACATCTTAGTATTGACGTAGGCCTGTCCTTAAAAAGCCATGTTATTTGGCCAAATAAAAAAAAATGTTAATTAATCCATGATCCCATTTTCTACATCATTGCTTGTCATTTGCCAATGAACTTTCAAAATTAAAAGACTAATGAAAATTAGAAGAAGCAATTTTAAGATGCCCCAATAAAAAAGATTCTAAGAAAGGTGAGAAATCATTATGTTTTGGATTTTATCATGGTCTTATGTCATACTCCGGTCATGTCACCAATAATCACAGGTTAATCTTTTTCCTGAGGAACAAGATTGATTAAATATATGGGTACTGTATTCTCTCAGTAAATAATAAGGATAACCAGCTTATTTATGAATAAAACTGCATTGAACATTTGTGCATACTAGTTTAATGGGCCAAGAGATTGCCAGTGTTGATTCAGGCCACTTGTGTCAGGCGTTATTCCAATTCTTACTTCTCAAGCAAGCAAGGCTTTCCCCCAGAGAGCCAGCCAGCCATCATTTGGATGGCCACTGGCCTCAAAATTGCCTATATGGGTGGACGCTTTAAGAATTTTTTTTGGAAATGACCGGTTGGGGACTTGTTTGGTTTAGACACCCTGTAAATTGGTGACGAAGTTAAAGATTTGCAATTAGGACTCCCAGTACCCCAGATCTTAGGGAAAATCCTGCAAGCAAGTAACCATATTATACATAATTGTTGTCAGAGACACGGGAAAGATGCTGGTTTGTGCCGTCTCTGAGTTACAATGAGTTTGGGGGTATTGCAGGCTCTTGGGTCTCCTGAAAACGAGAAACATTTTGAAACAGTTACTAGTAGGCTTTCTTTACCAATGATTTTTTTAAACAAATACAGCACTAGAAATTTGAAAAAAAAAAAGAATTGATTGCTAAAAATTATTAAAGGCATCAAAGGGATAAGTTTGAAAGCATTAATTGTACATTTGGCTTGAATAATACCCACATTTCATTTGAGTTGCTGACCCGTCTTCACTAGTGCTTGGAATGAGACCAGGACCCAGCAAGTGTCTCTGTGACTGATGTATTTTTGGTTTGTGTTTGACTCTTGGTGGAACTTTGAACAGGAATATCATTGAGATTAGTTCGGAATCAGCCTGTTGCTAATAAAAGTCAATTTAACAACAGCTTTCCTATGGGAATGATAAGAGGGTATTAAAACCGTATGAACATATACAGACCAAATTACTTTCTGCCACAGTGATTGAGGTCCTAGGCTCATGGTTAAGCTATAGTTGAAGGTAAGATCCATCATATATGGGGATAAGCAGTAAGATAATATCTTAGACCCCATTTCCAGAGATTAGATTGATCTACTTTAGATCGACCTAATTCCCTGGGGGTTCACGCTAAATAGCTGTCAGCCGGGCGGACACAAAAGTTAATTACCCCCTTACAGTTTGTAGTAGGCAGGACGGATATTTAAGCTGGATTATCTGACAGTCATCTAGTGAGACTCCCCGCGGGGATAGACCGATCTAAAAGCTCTGGGAATACAGCCTTATATTACCAGTTATGTAGAAGCCACTTTATATAAGGTGACCAGTTATGTAGAAACCACTTGGTATCATTTATAATACTCATACTGTGGGGCTTATTTCAAAACAAAAGGACTTTTACAGGACCTATTTTGGAAATGACTGTGAGATGCATGTGGTGTATAGGGAGCCTGCCAACTACTATCGGAAAACCATTGATAAATGTGAATATTAAGTTAAGACCACATGATTTAAGCAACTGTTTCCAGACTATCATAGTGTGAGAGGCTTTTGCAGGAATTTAGAGAAAATGAATAGGGTGTGTGTCTATGTCATACTGAGCAACAAAACAGAAATACTAGTGCCAGTCTGCTGTGGAGACTAAAGGTAAATATGCTTGCTCTTGGTATTGTAATCTTCTTCAATACTGCGATTAGTGTCTATACAGTGAGTACATGTTACCATCACCCAAGTGTGTCCACATCATCACATTTTCTCCGTACAATGCATGTTCGGTTAAAAGCTAGTCCTGGATTTGTTCTGAGGCCTTCCATTGTTTTTTTTTTTTTTTTTTTTTTTTTTCATTTACATAAATATAAATATACATTAAAGGATCATGTCTAGTTGTGATAACTATGGCTGCATTCAGAGCAGATGATATGCGGATCTGTTAGGCCGAGGATAAACTTGTTCTTAAAGTAGCCTATGTTCTTGTTAAAATTTTAAGGCGTGACAGGAATTTTTAATTTATTCTTTTATTTTTTCAGTTTTTATGGTTAAACTGATTTAGGGTGACTGTGCATTTGTCAGCTTTGGCTGGCTTGTTTGAAGGATTGTTATTTTATGAAGTTTTATTATGACTTTGATAAATAAAAATATGTATTACAATGTTTCTACTTTGTGGTCATTATAATATTTAAAAGCACCATGGATAACCTGAGATTCATTCTAGAGCAGTTCATCACTGTTGATGAAACCTACTGTTCCTTTTAGCCATTTGAACTTGTGTCCCTTCTGTTCCTAGTTTTATTTCAGTTTAGTTCAAGACATTAATGAATGTAGTTGCTTATTTTCCTTCTCTTTTAAATTGTACAACAGAGGTTCAAAGAAGAGAAAAAACAGAGGGCAAAATTAAAGGGATAACTATACTCTTCATGTGAGATTTATATTTCACAATAAATACATTGTAAACAACTCATAGAAATATGTTCCATTTTACCACAAAAACAGTTATAGCGATTATTCTGAAATCTGTGCTTGTCATCGGACAACATGACCTCCATAGATGGCTATACTCAGTAATAATCTCTCAAGATATTACTACAAAAAAAAAAA